ACAGTTAAAAAAACCTGAATTATTCTAGTATAGAAAGTATGACCACACTATTCCTATTAAGGAAGGGAAGTTACTAGTATATAAAAAGATTTACTTGATATTTAAGAAGGAATCACAGGTACTATAAGAATATATTAATAATTAATTAATAAAAAATAATATCAGATTATCAAAGTTACTTACAGAACATGAAGTCTTATTTATATTAAAGAAAAATAGCAGTCTATAATTATATATAAATTATTAATTATTTAATATAATTATAATCAAGGATCAGTACTCCTTATCTTTAATCTCAGAAATCCAAGATAAGATACGAGAAACAAAATAATTTATTAAACTTAATATTACTGATATATATTATTATATATATATTGCGGAAGGTGAAGAATGGAAAACTGTATTTAGAATAAAGTATAGATATTATAAATACTTAGTTATACTATTTAAGCTTACTAACGCGCCTGTATTATTTTAATAATATATTAATGAGGTATTAGGAGAGCATCTTAATAGATTTATAATTATTTATTTAGATAATATTCTAATCTTCTTGAAAACTGAGGAAGAACATGTCAGATATATAAGACTTATTTTATATAAGTTATATTTATACAAGTTATAATGCAAGCTCAAGAAATATAAATTCCATGTATAGAAAACAGAATTCCTGGAATATTAGATATTCATGGAGGGTGTTTATACTGAGCAAGCTAAAGTATAAGTTATACAGGACTAGTCTTAATCTAAGAATTTAAAAGAATTATAATAGTTTATTAAATTAGTTAATTATTATTAATGATTTGTAAATAGATATGCTATCTATATGACACCACTGTTCGAGCTTATGAAGAAAACACAAGAGTATAAATAAAAAGAACTGTAGCAGTGCATGTTTAAAAGTATTAAATACTAATTTACTATGTTACCAGTACTAGTGCAACATGACCCAGAAAGGGAAACTACTGTCGAAACTAATATATTAGATTATATTATTAGTATGCATATGACGCAGCCAGGAGATAATAGAAAATTTAGATTAATTATATTTTACTCAAGAAAATTGGTTCAGGCGGAATTTAATTATAATATCTATGATAAAGAACTACTAGTTATAATAATAGTATTTAAGTAATAGAGGATCTACCTTGAAGAAGCTAAATATATTATTATTATAAAAATAGATTATAAGAACTTGATTTACTTTATAATAATCAAAGAATTAACTAGAAGATAGGCAAGATAGACAGAAATCCTATTATAATATAATTTCTATATTGTACACTGTAAAGGAACAGAAAATGGGCACACAGATATACTAAATCATAGATCTAATTATAAAATAGAAGAAAAGACTATCAAGCTAACTATTTTAAAATAAAATAAAGATAAATTAATTAGCTATAATAAAGTTAATCTTACAGTAATACTGGAAATAGGCAGTAACCTAACCAAGCAACTAGCTGATATTACTAAAAATAATAAAGTACTCTAAAAGATAAGTAAAGACTTATTAAATAAAATTATTATTAATAAAAAAAAATTAGCTTACTTCCACGGGCTAATCTTTATACCAACTAATATAAGAATAAAAATCATGGTTATATATTATGATAAGCTACTCAAGGAATACTTAGAAGTTGAAAAAACTATAGAATTAATTACTAAGAATTATTATATTCTAAATCTCAGATAAAAAATACATGACTACATGGAATAGTATAAAATATACATTAGGAACAAGCCCGCGAGGCACCAATCCTATGGATAAATATAGATACAGGAGATATTATAATAATTATAAAAATAAATAATAATTAACTTTGTTAGTCTATTACCTGAATTAAAGAAGTATAATACTATTACAGTTATTATTAACTATTTTATTAAATACATCCATCTCGTACCAAGCCAAATAACAATGACAGTAATACAGATAATAAAATTATTTTTAGGAAATATTATTATAAATCACGAGATGCCAAAGTATATTATATCAGATAAAAATAAATTATTTATTTTAAAATTCTGGAAGTTACTTGTTAATCTCATGGGAATTAAAGAATAAATGACAACGGCTTATCACTTATAAATAAATAGATAAACAGAAAAAGTTAACCAGATAATTAAATAATATCTAAAATATTACATAAATTACTAGTAAGATGATTAGACAGATCTGTTGTCTATAGCACAGTTCTTGTATAATAATATTAATTATTTAATAATCGGAGTCTTATTATTCTATATTAATTATAATTATTATCTAAGATTCCTTGAAACACTAATAAGAAAGTAATCAGTTGCTGATATAACTAAAGATATTATTATATTTATAAGAAATATATATATCTAATTATCCTGAGACATTGAATTCATAAATTTACAAAGTAAGATTTATTATGATCACTGATATAAAAAAAAACCTGATTTAAAAAGAAAGAAAAAAATATTCCTATTCTACAGAAATATTAAAATAAAATGATCAAGCCAGAAATTTAATTACTATAAACTAGGATTATTCATTATCAAGGAAAAGAAAGGACCAGTTAATTATAAATTAAGATTATTAAAATTAATAAATAGAATTTATCTAATATTTCATATTTTATTATTAGAACCCGCACCAAAGAATGCTAGAATTGCAGAAAATATAAAAATTGACAACAACACCGAACAAGAATATGAAGTTGAAAGAATTCTGGATTATAAGAAGATTAGCAGTAAGTCATATTATTTAGTAAAATGGAAAGACTATAATATCTTAAAGAATATATGGGAATCTATTAAGAATCTGATAGGCTGTTACTAGCTTGTGGAATAGTATTACCAGCAGCAAGATTAAAGTTCGCCCAGAAGAAAGAAGAACTAACTAATTAAATTAGATTAGAATTATCTGATACAGCAGTAAGTTAAGCAATATTATATTTATTAGCTAGATATTCCAGCTTTTAGAAATTCTTAGTACTTGGAGAATCCTTTCCATCTAATAAATCTAATATACTTAAGTTATGATCCAGTATCTGACTATTATGATTCTTAAGGAATTTTCGATGCTTTTACAGATATTTTATTTTTGTAAATAATTATTTAATCTGTTTTTTAGTTTTTTTAATCTCTTGAGCTATTTTCTCTTTATTATACTAAAGTTTATTCTACTTGGAATTATTATAGAAACGCTTCTCACACTTGCGACCATGATGAGTGCAGGCCGCACAATTTCAGTTTTTAAAATCTATAAAATAAGAAAGACCATGGGAATTATACCAGGTACAAGAAAATTTGATCTGGATACTGTTACAGATAATCCAGTCAGCTTAATAGTAATACTTTTTGTAGCGGTTATGTAAAGGTATAATGACCCATCCTGGAAAGAAAAGAAACTGAAGAATCCAGCTAATATATAAAAGAAGAATATATATTTTTATATTTCTTAAGAATAAGAAATCTTAAAGAAGAAGAAGTAATATTATAAATTTCTGCTAGTTAATCTACTAGTAAGGCGGACTTGCCAGGCAGAAAGCACTGATAAGAGTAGTACTTGAATAATATTAAACTATTAGTTAGTATAACTTCTGACTGCTAGTATAATATCCAGAACGGCCGCGCCTCACGTGACCATGGTATACACATGGATATATGGTATACGGCATACCATCAAGGTCTACAACTACCATCGTGGTATACAGCAAACCTAAAGATATACGGAGGATGGAATATATAAGAATACTTTCTCATATATTTAGCTAGTTCTGTTCCTCGTGCTCAATAACACTATCTTTAAGTAACCATATGTTTGGAAGCTTAGTAATAGAACACTTGTCCACACTTACTTACAGATAATTACGTGGCATTATCTAGCCTTACTTCTCTTCTCGTGTCCAAGACCAGTTGTCCTTAGATAGTCATCAGCCTGTTACCTCCTCGATCCAGTTCGACGGTACGTATACCAGTGAAGCTAAGCTAACAGGGACAGGGAAGCGATCCTAGGGTTTGACAACTAGATATCAAAATAATCAAATAGATAAAGATAAATACAATTGACAAACTTGTCAAAGGGAAGCAATCTGACTTCCTAAATAGGAAATAAATGGATCCTTAGATAGGAAGTGAATGAGTTGGATGACTTGGCTTGCTTGCTTGGAAGGCTTTAAACATGATTAGGCAGGGAATGAAAGGCTCTATTTATCTTCAATTCACTGCTTGTAGTGAATGAATCTAGATCAGGGTCATGAATCATCAATTTAATCAGGGAACAAAGAAATCATAATCAAATAGTCAGAATGATGTAAAAATCACATGTAAAAGAGTGAATATCAGGATTTGCAAAGAATAAGCCCAATCTGTTCCAGTCGTGTTAAGAATTCAATATGATTCTGTATGAGGCATATAACTGGTCTGGGTATTCATGGAAAAATGAATTCCAGCTGACAGATATCAATTTTTCCACTATATATTATCTATATGTAAAGTTACAACTAATCAACCTTAGTAGTGGTTGAGATATAGAAGATTTAAAAAGACTTCTTTTATATGGGATAACCAGATGGGCCGCCCAACCGTGTGGGCCGTCCAACCGTTGATTACGTTAAAGTATGGACCGACCATATGTGCCTGTCCGCTTACACTACTTGCCGTAGATGCTCTTATAGTTTATATGTTTAATAACACTGCCTGTATGTTTTGGGCAGCCTGGATTATTTATCCTTAGGTGTCTGACCCAGATTATTCTGCTGCACATAATAAACTCTATGACGACCCATATAGATGCCGGTTAGGGCTGCTATCCGAATTAGGAAGTTGTCTGGAGGACTTGCTACTAGCGTGGTGGCCAAGAACTTTGATAGACCCGATTCGTCAAACATCAGAATATAGTGGGTAAATCAAACACTAGCTGGTATATTATTGGCTGGTTCACTTTGATACTTGACCAACTCCCCAGGAACCTCCATGTCGCCCTTTTCCTTATAAAATGGATTTCGTTTGGATTGGTGCTTAATCTCCAGTTGGAGACCAACTCAGCGGCTTATGAATCAAGCTGATAGTAACTCAATTTAGTGCCTTGTTTAGGAAGTCTGCTTTTTGCGATGCACATACTTATACCCATGCCCAAGCTCGTTCAAGCAGAGCTAGACATGGCTGCTCAGTGTGAATCAACAACGGACCATGAAAGAACAGTGCGCTGAGGACCAGCGTCCCCAAGATGTCGATCGTCAGGGTCGACAGCGCCCGCGCATCTTACCTAACCTGGTCGTTGAGTTTGGATTCTGCGTGGCTCTGATGCTATCCCAGATCATGTCGGTACGTCCATACGAACTCTCCCCCGATCTTCAGTCATCTTACACTATGACAGGAATTCTTCATCTCCGGATTCAACGTCCTCATCCCATCTGTCTCCCAAAGCCTGAACATCCCCGCCGCATCCACCGGCTGGCCCTCCAGCGCCTTCGCCCTCACAGCCGGCAGCTCCCTCCTCCTCTTCGGCCAACTAGCCGACAAATACGGCGGCTTCGTGGTCTTCACCTCCGGCCTAACATGGCACCTCGTTTGGACCTTAATCGCCGGGTTCTCCCAGAACGAAATCATGCTCAACTTCTGTCGTGCTCTACAAGGCTTCGGCCCGGCTGCCATCCTCTCCGCAGGCATCATGCTACTGGGTTCGATTTATTCTCCAGGTCCCCGCAAGAACATCGTCTTCAGCATCTACGGCGGCTGCGCCCCGATAGGCTTCTCCGCAGGTATTCTCGTCTCCGGGATCGCGGACCAACTCCTGAACTGGCGCTGGTACTTCTGGATCGGCGCCATCCTGATCCTAATCACCCTCGTATCGGCCCTCATCTTCATCCCGGCTCCGATCCGCACCCAACGACCCAACCCAACCCTCAAAATCGACTACCTCGGCGCCACCCTCTTCATCTCCAGCCTTATCCTAATTTTCTTCGCCGTCAACGACTGCGGCCACGCCCCTAACGGCTGGCGCACTCCATACATCCCCGTGACCCTGGTGATCGGCTGCATCCTCCTCGCCGGGGCAATCTACACCGAACACCGCCTCACCTCCTCCTCCACAGACGACAGCAAAACCACAACCACAGCACAAACCCCAACCCCAATCCTCCCCCTCACCCTCTTCCGCGTCCCTCACCTCCCCGCCCTCCTAATCGCCCTCTTCCTCTTCTACGGCACCTTCGGCATCTGGCTCCTCTACACAGTCACCTACATGCAAAACATCCTGCACATCTCCCCCCTAATGGTGGTAGTCTGGTACCTCCCCTTCGCGCTAGGCGGTATCGTCCTCAGCTTCGTCGGCGGGACGATCCTCCACATCGTCCCGGGTACTATCCTTCTGATACTCTCGGGCTTAGGATGGGTCATGGCCCCGCTTCTGTTCGCCATCCTTCCCAAGGAAGGGGTGAGTTACTGGGCGTATATCTTCCCCGCGATGATTTGTGGGACCGTGGGCGTTGATATCACGTATAATATCACTAATGTGTTTCTTACTACTACGTTGCCTGAGCAGCAGCAGGGGTTGGCGGCTGCGGTGGCGAATAGTGTGTTGTTCCTGGGTGTGAGTTTCTTTGTTGGTTGGGGGGATTTTGTTGCTGAGATGGTGGATGGTCAGAGGAAGGGGTATAAGGCGGCTTTTTGGTTGGGGGTCGCGTGTGCAGGCGTGGCGTTGGCGGTGTTGGTGGGGTGGGTGAAGATTGAGGCTGCGAGGGGGGAGGATGGGAAGGAAGAGGAGGGCGGTGGGTGAGGATGTCAGAAGTGTTGATGGGGTCATTCGTATCATAATTTAGAACTGGAAATACATTCACGGAACCTACCTTGAAATCCTTGGGTCTGTGACAACAGCTAAGATGTGAATGAGCTACATAAGTACACTAGACCCGAAACCGCCTTCTCCTGCGTAAACTTCTTTGCTTTTCACCGCCGTAAGCCACTCATAAGTCCTAATACATGCTGAAGAGGCAAATTCCTGAAACCCAGTCTGCTTTCTGGAACGACATTGAGTTATATCATGGATCAGAAGGAAAGGTGTACCGAAGAGAGGTCACTAGAAGATACGCCGGGGACGCTCCAGTTCACAAGGACTCTCGCAAGAACATACCGACTTTTTGGGAACTTGTTCCTCTCTGAGCCGCCTCTGAAGTTGCGTGACAAAGTGGATGAACTTCGACCTTATTTGCTCGAGCTTGAACATCGGGAGAAAAGCACCGGTATGTAGCCAAAAGTGGCTAAGTCCAGTGAGAGTTTCTACTAATCAGTCATCGGTTTAGAAATCGATCATAAGGCAATATCCGATGAACTATCTTCCTTCCAGCTCGCAGAGACACAGCTCTGGAAGGAGCCACTTCCCACCCGTTGTTCGGAGCATATTGTTCGTCCATCAGGCTCATGGCAGGCACGTATCGCTCATCACCTACACAATCCTTCCTATACCACCCTTCACGCCAAAAACGGGGAGGTTGCTGATGCTACAAATGGGTGCACGGCACTCATTATGAACCATCACTACGACCCCGAGCGTCACTTCATGTTTGACCACTTCCACCGACGAGAGGACTTCTGCCCATTTGCAAAATATCCGGATCATATCCGAGCTTTCCATGAGAATCACACGGAATGGATTCGAAACACACTGCAGGCAAAGATAGAGATAATATACGGTTCTTCGGTAAGAAAATGGGCGATGAAGCATTTGGATTTGACATCACTTAATCTGTGGGGGGAGTACGAAGGTGTTTGGCTCCACTTCGAGTGGAAGCCGATTGTGGCAGGGAAGAAGATCGCAAGGATCATTATATTCGCGCTACACCCACAGAGATTTCTCTCCTATCAGTCGAGGTCACAAAGAGAAGCAATAGAGCAGGATTTAAGGATTAGTGTTGCCCATCAGTTGGCGTGCCTGCCTTTTACTGATGATTACTATGCTACGAGGCTTTGGACAAGTAAGGCTGAATTTATTCAGAACACGTATTTCAATGCGCGGTGTCTAGCCGAGAAAGAAAACTCTCGGTTCGGTATTGTCGACCTGCCGAGGCAAAGAAATATACCAACACCGGATGCTGCATGCCCTATAACCACAGATACCAGCGGGGTCATGAGCCTAAAAAGGTTGGATGAGGTGCTCTTGAAAGTTTTGGACAGTAGGAAGCGCCTCGGCTCGCGAGAGTTCAGACAGGAATATAAGTCCCTGGATATGCAAAACGACTTGCTGGAGCCGTTCCCCTGTGCGGTCATGAGAGAATGGTTTGAGACCCAACAGCATTCATTTTTTGGTGGAATATCCATCAGGACTCGCGACGACCTGCTCTTTGCGTACAATAAGCATCGTGTTGGAGGTGATGAACCACAATCATCTAACCTAAGTACCATGGAGTTAATTCAAGGCTTGATGAATATTCAACAAGCGAGGATTCGGAACCGCATCTATCGTGTCTACCGACCAACAGCCAGATCCTCCTGTTACTATTCCACATTTGAAAGCATGCCTTGTGTATGCGACAACTGTCGCTGCCCGCAGCCTCCCGATCTCCCTGAATATACCACCGTTGCAGCTCGCAAGCTGATCCGCACCGATGATGAGTGCGAAGGGTATTCCACTACCGTTAAACTCTGGTGCTTATACTGCAGGGAAAGGACTGTGATAGGGAAAACTTCCATTCGAAACCGAGCACTGGACAAAAGTCCCCAATGGACCAAAGGAGCACGTCCTAAATACATTCCCAGATCGTTCACATGTCATAACTGCTCTCGCAATGACCAGCATTTTGTTCCCATCAATGGAGATATATCCTTCATCCCCCTACGCGATCTCGCTATATTTGCGTTCAATTTCTCGTATATGGACGACCAAACCCTGATCGCGCATCTTGATGCCCGCCCCTCGAGCACATTCACCGCTCGGGGCTATACCAGACATTCACAGGTAAACCTCGGTAATGCCAACACGCCCGGGAGTCTAGATACCGGCCCTCCCCTAAAGAGGCGCAGGGGCACGAGAAAGGTTGACGCATCACAAGTACAGTTGCAGAATAGGATTGCTGGCGAGCCTTCTGAGTATAATGACGACCACCCGACGGAACCAAACGGCGGCAAGTCTATGATTGAAAATTATAGTAAGCCAGCTATTATCGAGTTAAAATGCAGCAAATGTGGTCAGCGCTGTGGTAGCAACTATCGACCTAGGCGGCATCGAGATACGGGTGATTATATCGCACTTTCGAGGCCCCAGTGCCCTCAAGGTTGCACGAACCAAAAAGTCTGGCTAGTACCAGTTTCTGATATTGAATATATGACGGCCAATATGCTAGAAGCCCGGTAGAGAAGCGATGAGCGCCATCGACAAAGGTACGGTCCTGTTCTTCGTCTTGCTAAGCCTCTGTCGGAGAGAGCTCTGGGGACGACTAGTTGGAGGGTCAGAAGTCTCGGACAACAAAAGCTACAGAATGAGCTACATCTATCTTGAGATTTGCAATCTCACCTTTTCCTCACTATAGACTGCTTGGAGGGAAACGAGAAGTCAACGGGGAGGCACACAATATAGACGAAGTCATGATCATTTGAAAGAGGACATTGCGCTAGTCGAGCTCGCTCTTCTTCGTCCAAGTCGTCATTGCCTATGGTACGTAAAACATTCGGAAAGGGGAATCCACGCGGTACGGTCTCTTGCCCCACAAAAAAGGATAGTCTTCCGCTCTGGGGTCTACACAACATCCGCTACAGACCTGCTTCTCCGCTCACACTATACCCTTTGGGTAATATGCTTTTAGCTGCGTAGTCTCGCTATTCTAAGTTTTTCTTTCTTTTCTTTTCTTTTCTTTTCTTTTCTTTTCTTTTCTTTCCGTGTTAAAAAAGTGTTAAAAAAGATGAATTTGTTCGATATTCACAGCAGAATTGGTCGCATCATTGAGATGATTATTCTACATCGAAACGGTTATCTCCCGAATAAACTTCTGCATGTATCAAATTGGAGGCTAAGCATGGACGCAATTGGCAAGGAAAGTCCCTTTGGACCAACTGGTATGAAGACCCAGTATAGAAAGCGTTGCAACTAGGATACTGAGAACAGGCTAACCAGTGCTGCGTGCTCTAGTCTAAATAATATATATTGTATAGCTCCGGGCAGTTTAAATAAGAACATTCTTGAAACCTGGGTTTTGGTTTAACTAAACTAGACACATCATTCCCGTGGAGAAAGAAGAATGCTTGCTTCCCATGAATTTCTTAATTTCTGCTCGGATCACCAAGGTATATATAGTCCTGTAACGGCTTCTTCCATTTGTCATTGAGGATAATTATGTATAAATCCTACTAGTCTTGTCCAACTTCGACAAAACCCGCCCAGGTTGGATCTCGCATATATATAGTTGCTTCTAGAATGGAGAAAGACTTATATAAATAGGCCGGAAAGGGAAAAGGATCTGAGAACTTCTCAAAGCTCCCACAAATCCAGACTCGTACAGCTCTGCGTGATAGTCAATCGAGCTTCCAACCCAGACCCAGCCAATCCATCAAAATGCCTCTTCCAATCGCCTCCACCGCATCCCTCTTCGAGGATGCCCTGCAGTCCAACGAGGCAATTGAAGTCCCCATTGGCGGAGTCGACTTTGTCTCCTTCACGAGTGGACAAACCATAAGAACACTTGGTACGAGGAGGTTGAATGGCAATTCGGCTCTTGTGCTCGTTTCCACCAAAGGTGCCATTTTAGCTAACGTTCCTCTGCCCCCCTGCAGCATGGAAGAACATAATGCTAGTCTAACGCAACTGTGGAAGAAGACGACCGCCTTTCTGAATCTCTTCAACGAAAATGCAGGGCTCTTTTTGGGCCCGGATGAGAAAAGGTATGCAATGGTTTATGGACCCTCTGCGAGACCTAAACCCTTCCTGAAATATAATGCGATCATTGACTCCATCCTTTCGAATTCGTTGGGAGTTATTGAGAAACCTAAGATTGTCTCATATTCGTATGAGGAGGGCGGCCACAATCAGCCTGAGAGTGGTTCTGTCTTTATTGATGGAAGAGGTGAAATTCCTAAGGTGTATGTGGAGGACAAGGATCAGAAATGGTTCGAGCAAGAGCGACAAAGATTCTGATCGTAGTATTGTCTGCGCAGATTATTGTGAGATGAATACGAACCAGGCTGCTAGCTTTTTCCTTTCACATAGTTGAGCCCGACATAATTGGACCGACGCAAGTAAAACAGTTTCCAAAACTACAATCCATAACCATGTTCCATAAATCATAAGTCTTTATAGCAAATAATTTAGATAAGATTACCTGAGAGGATCAGGGCTGTCCAGTTTTATGACATGGCCTTAGGATTATAGCGTTATTGACAAATCTTTCCGGCTAGGTCATAGCACATATCACGGAGAACAAATGTGTATCTCTGTGCTTCCTCTTCTATATTACAGAAAACCCCAGAATGACTACTGATTACTGAATAGATAGAACAGGCAATTAAAGATTTTACACTTCACAATCACTGTCATGCTTTGCGCCGACCAGTCTTGCACTCCCCACACAAGTGCTTTGTAGGCAGACTCAGACTGGAAGAACGGTCACAAATATAGCGAGAGAGAGAGAGAGGCAATCCGTCCCATGTTGCTTATTGCGATAGTAGAACATTTGATGTACGGTAGATCAGTTAAAGGGGTCGGCTTGTGGCATTGCTGCCTTTGTAACATTTACCACATTCTTCGCTATATGGAGTGGAAGAGGGGGTAAGAAGGTCTAGTGTTACCACAACCCGTTTTCTTTTTCTTTTTCTTTTTTTCTTTTTTTCTTTTCATAGAGCTTTAACCCAAGGGAAAAAAAAATAGGAGTACTCTCTTGATGATATCTGACCTAATTTCTGGTTTTCTAGCTCGTCTCACTGGCCTTGGGTCTGGGTCCAGGGGATAGTGAGACCAGCTGCATCAGTGTGAAGTTATACCCTGCAATGAAAGATTTATCAGAGCGGCACAAGTTACTACAGAACTTTTTCGGCAATGCCTTCTCCAAGTATGGACTACTAAAACTAAGGAAAGCCCAACAAGATGTCATGGTAGGTATAGCCCCCAATCTCATATTCTCAAGACGTGTGATTGGAGGGCTACATTACCACCGTCTAATTACATTATATTGAAACATATTCGGTTTTACGTGGGTAATACTGCATAATATCACAAGACCTGACATACCCAGTAACTGCCAACCATTACTTATCCCCATTATGCCCTAACTACAATTGCCTGCATTAGCGTACCGGGGAAGTCTGGACAGCTCACATACTTCCCATTCCTTCATCTAGTGCTTATCGCTCCTCCACTCCACCCCATTTGCCCCAACAAATTCCTGTTACTGCTCGCCAATAACATCTCTGTGATCAACATAATTCAGGAATTTATGAGGCTTTCCTACCTTTCCGCCTAAATGTCGCATATTTCTGTGTTCTTGGTACTGTAGCTGCTTGGAAACTAACCGGCAGCCGAGCCGCGTAGTGGAATGATAGCGCTGGTGTTTCATCCGCCCCTCCTTCAGAGCTCCAGTCGAAAAATCACTCACTTTATGCATGCACATGCTAGCAATTGAGTACAGCCACACTGGTTTCCCCATGCTCAGTTTGCAGCCGCTTACTATGTTCGTCTCTATTTGCTCTTGGGGGCGGACCAAAAGCAAAAAGATTACGGAGTTACTAGTGCGCGCGACACAGTAACTGTGCCTGAGCTCAGTGCTTGCTAGGTGAGGGTCATGATAGAGAACGACATAGTAGAGCGATGCTTCGAATCATTATGAACAATCGATAGGACTAAGCCCACGTGCTTCTGGGAATTAATTTAGATTGCTCCGTATATCTATTGGTTACTCCATAATACCAATCCGATGCTATTGATTACCCTCGCGTGGTGATTGAAGTGTACATTGGAAAAGCCGAATTTCCGGGGCAGGTTGTCATACCACTTGGTGAGAGGAGGGAGATATTTACATGTACCTCCTTGATAGGCTCTAGCCGGCATTTGGGCAATGAAGTGTTCACGGCTTGATTGCCAGTGTCAGACAAGATAGAATTCCGGTTCTGAGGCACATCGAGGGCTAAGTTCCCCCTGGCCAAGCAAACACTGATGCTAGGCTAGGCATGCATAACATACCGCAATGTATGATTTCCAACAATATATTGATCCTGGCTTAGTCCCTCTCGCCCCCTCCTGGCCCCCATGTCTAGACTGTTTGTGAAGCGGGACACAGAATGCAGCGATGGTTTGATTCCACGTGCCGTAAGCCTCCTGAGTTGTGTTCCAGAGTAAAGTTGTACATCAACCCTGACAGCCGCAAATATAAACTGGGAAATGATCGTAGGTTGATGGAAGAACCAGATGGGATTGGATCATCTAGTGTTTCCCTTTAGAAAAGTCTGAATCGGCTGCAGTAGTTCCCTACTATTCAGATGCTGAAGGACTAGGTTGCACGTTACACTACTTTGTCACGTACATAGTAGTCATCCTGATGAAGGTTAAAGGGGGGCTGTGACGAGGCTTGTTAGATTCATGAAGTATCCTTTGTTGTCATGCCATGGATATGGGGAGAGTGTAGCAGGTTTCTGCTGTAACCTGGCACAAGCAAGGGCTCTGCGCGGATGTCGCACCGGAAGATGGATCAAGGAGGGAGGCAGGGGTAAAGGAGGCTGTGCTAAGAGTCCATAATATTGCTACGGAAACGTACATGAATCGAGTAGTAGTTACATCAAGCGCTGATTATGCATTAATTGTATGGAGCTGAAGCTCGAAAGGTCATACAGATAGCTTTCGACATATCGGTATTACCAAAACATACAGATACTGTACGATACAAAGTGTAAACGGGAGCAGAGTGTATTGGTGGCGGTGGGGGTCGGCAGGAGCCGTAGCCGTTGCGGACCCGGATGAAGTAACAAATGAGATGTGACGGCAGGTGATGTGATGAGATATGCATGCATCAGTTGATCCAGTCTGCGTAGAGGTGGGAAGTTTGGGGGTTGGTTTTATTTAGCGCCATGGTTGACATGAGTCCTGACATTCACACACATTCACACAGTTCAGGTAAGTTTAATAATAGCAACTTGTTGCACGGCCAAGGCAAACGGCGGGGAATTCCCGACTGGACTAGGTGCATATGTCCGGGCTGAACAAACCCACCACCCCCTCTCCTGCCAACATGTGCGGTTGGCCTTCCCCTGCGGCAAACATGCATCGGCACACTAGACCAAAACATCAAGCTCCGCAACCTGTTAGCCGCTCAAGCCGGTGGCTGGGAGACAAGTTGGAGGAGTGCAGTTACTCCATTGTGCTTACTTTACAACCAAAGGCCCGGGATCAGGGGTGCAGCAGCCTGTTGACTGAACAAGAGGTAGATAGCGAGGGACTCCTCGGGCCCCTTCTGCAGTGTTACACACATCTTGGTGTACTACGTGGCTGGAGGCACTGGCACCAACGCGAGTCGGACCACTTTCCCTGGCTGAACGTCCTTAATTTTGGGGGTATGGGCCGCCTGGGCCTACTAACGGCTCCGGCGCAATGCATTGAATTAATTTAATCTAGTCGAATTTTTCAAGGACACCGCCGCCAGATGATCATTCTAAAGATAAGTTGCGAAAACTTTGAAAATTCACACCATGCCGTCGACATACATTGGTATGTGTTTATCATTGTTTGAAAGTAGCATACTACTTGGTATTTACTGCAATGGGAAACGATCCTTTGTGCAATGTTCTATGATGTGGTGGCGGATATATTGGTTTTCCGCCCCCAATAAGAACCCCACCACGGTTTCTTAGTAGTCTGACGGGTTAGGGCTAATCGAGATGCATATTGTCTAGACTAACTTGTTTAGATAACTAACTTGCGTAGGTGGAAGTGGGCGACGGGGCCAAGTGTTTATGGAAGCTGAAGCACGGAGGATACCAATGTTACCATTCGTGTGGACGTGTGACTGCTACGAGAGGGGAAGCTATTTTGCGAAGGTGTCCATATTTGCTAACCATCTATTGATTCAATACTGAAAATTAACAGAGAAACTACTAGCAAATAGTGTTATCCATAGGAACCAAAAACTTCGGCATAATCCAACCCAAAAAACACCCAAAGCAGGACCCAACTGCATCACTTCTTTTGTCAGTGCGCAGTGGCCAATTCATGGACAATCTTCACGACCTCATCACACTGAGTAAACATTGAAGTATGGCCCGACTCCAACTCCCAGGTGCGCACCTGACATCCAGCGTCCTGCATTGTTTTGATAAATCCTTTTTGATAATCATAGGGAACTGTCATATCATGCTTTGAGCAGATGTAAGCGATATTGGGGATGCCCCCTTCCTCCGGCCGCCAGGCGACATGCTGGAGCTTGCCGTCAAACCCCTTTCCGTTCCAACGCTTCAAGGTGGAAAAGTAGGCAGCAGTCTCCTCGTCGGATCTCTGAGTTGGGCCGACCACTAAGATGTTAGAGTCCCTGGGAAGACATGTTCGGTCGTCGGCGAAGTCAAAGGCCACGTCCATAATCTCGCCGTGGCCGTTCGCGAAAACAACATCCATCATGGAAGTTCCTTCTGTGACGGCGAACCCGGAAATGTAGACTAGCTGGACGATGCCACCGGGAAGGCCCTGCGCGCGACGAGAATTGATCCCAAGGCCGTCGGATAGGGCATTGGTCCCGACCTGGCCGCCATAGGAGTGGAGTAGGACTAGAACCTCACGGCCGGCGGAGACGAGGCTCTCCACATAGTTGCGGACCAGGTCACTGTCTTCTTCTAGACCGGCGTTTGGCGGCCGGGAGCCGTTCAATGTGAGGAGGCGGGGCACGTGGACCTCATAGCCAAGGCGACGGAGGGCGGTGGTAAACAAAGAATAGGATGATGGTTGATGCCAAGCACCAGGGACAAGGATAATAGTGGGATGGGTGGTAGTAGTGGTGGTAGCCATGATGAATGAAGTAGCACAGAAAAGAAAGGATTTGATAAGTATTTACTGGCAAGACGGCCTGGTAGGGGAGAACTGAGACGTAGAACAAATGGGCAGTTGATTCGATAAGTAATGCTGCGATTTGGGAATGAAGACCCTACAAGGACCGAGTATCCCGTCTCTTAAGTAGTAACGTCAGAGGTAGGCTGTGTAAACGGAGGTAAGCAAACGCATCAGGGGATAGCAAAATGGCCTCTTTCAAGTGGGATGCACTAAACTCATGAATTCCCAGTTCAGGGCGCAAATTTTGGCCCCCATTTGGTCTCAGACTAGTTATGGAGACTAACTGACCCACGGAAGTATAGACAGGCTAATGGGAAATTCGAAACACGGCGCAGCACCTTTTGGCGTTTTAATCATGTACGTATTCTTATCAATTTTGTTATACTTCCCTTCCACCATAAGCATCAGCAACAGCCCCCAACCGGACCCCATCTGTATGCTCAAGAAGCTTTCCGTTACGTACATCTGAGGGTGTATGTGCTGAAAGAACATAAGATAGAAAATAATCACTTGGTTACAGGATCCCAATTCTGCAAGAATTCCATCTTCACTTGAATCTTGGGCACATCGCCCAGGTGGTCAGTATGTTCTTCAGAATTTGCCATCTCAAGGTCAGAGTACAGCCCTTGGCGGGAACCATCACCGTGATACCGTTCCAAGGTCGAGGAGCTGAAGATCGACTTCCAATTGCGAAAGGGGCGGGCGTATGTCATTCCGCTCCACTTTGGTGAACTGCCACCTCTAGTTGATCGAGATGATCGGATATGCTGAACCAGATTCGGAATCATTGGCAGACAGGAACAAATGATGCTCATGTTCGTTTCGACATTAGTCCAGATTCCTGGGACGATGAAAGTATCTTTTTCAAAAGTTGGTGAGTATAATTAGTTCACAGAAAAATAAATCGCAAGCACGTACATGTAAGATCATTAACTTCTACCGTGGCCATATAGAACAGCCGTACAACACTGGTCACGCAGGTACTGCGGGAGATGTAAGCATGATTCGGGAACAGTAGAATTTACTCCGGGGACGGATCCAGACTCACAAGCCACCGACACTAAACACCAAAGACAGCAAAATCCGGCGATGGCGCGTCTGGTTTAACCGCCATACAACTGGCTGTGGTAGGGCCAGAATGATCGCATCAAGCAATATGTTAACCACTCCCATGGCAATCCAGAAGCTTTTGTTATCGATGGTCGTGCTGGGCTTCCAGAATTGCCACTGCGCATCAACTGGGGTATAGGCAAAGATGAGCCCGCAGACCGCAGCAGTACATGCCCCAACAGAGAGGCCTGCGATTACCCAGGTACATCGCAGGAAGGTCTTATTGATTGAGAAGATGCGTTGATAAAACAGCAGAATAGAGATTTTGCTCAGCCCCACGCTAATGTTATAAAACACGTTGTTCGCTAGCACAATCTAAGCAAACGCGTCCCCTCGAATGTTAGACAATGTCATAATAGATACATCTTGCGTTGATACGTACCTGAAAGTATCTCTCGAGCACAAGAGGATCCTTGTACTCAGTGATGTGGAAGCCCGAATGACCCACGGTTGCACCGAGAGTGGCCGTGCATAGGAATCCATAGGCAAAGATCAGAGCAAGCAGACAGAACCAGTCATCCCGTTTGATGGATATTGTGAGATAGCGTGAAATAAACCGTGTAACGACCAAGCATGTCGACAAAAAGGTCATCACTCCGGCCTCCGAGACAAAGGCAACATTGAGAGGACTAAAATGAGTGGGATAACCGGGCTCTGCTTGCGAAGTCATTATTTGATCGTATACACTTGTGTAGAGAGATGTACAATTGACAAGGTGAGTAACGGATGCGGACTAAGGAAAATCTGTCAATCTTGGGCTGGGCCTTCACGCATCGTTCCGGTTTAAATTATTCGCAAGCCAGCCGTAGGGTACTATTTAATCGCTCATATGCAATAACACAAACATGGGGGATGTAGAGGCTAAGATGCGTGTGTTCGGCTGTGTTAGTGCAATCATAGCTACCGGAAATGGGAGGCTGGATGAGAATAGTACTAGAGAGTAAAGCTACCCATAATTGCGGCGTAGTCAAGGTACAGGGCAAGACAGTGGCGTGGACACCCCCAATTTATTTGTTTTATTTTTTTTCCTATTTCACAGCATATGTAAGGCTATGCCAACAGTGCAGGACCATTGGAGCTAACCTATGAACATCTGTGTAGCGCCTTTGGTGGAGAACAAACAGCTGAATCCCAATCCCTGCAAACCGCCCCGTCCTAGTTCCAACGATTACCATATGGCTCAAGTTGATATCCTTGGGAACATGTGACAGATTTGATTAAGCCAAGTGGGTACGGGCTGTGTTGCGTATGGTGGTGTTGATAGCCTGGGCAAGTTGATCGACTCCATCGCTGTCAGTGGGAAACATATGACCTGCTTGATGCACCAACTCTACTCGCCCATTTGGTGTACACATGTTGAGGAGTTCCTGACTCTGGTCCGGATAGTCAAGATCTTCGGGACTCCAGCAATGCACAGTAGGGATATGGAGTGGGTATGGGACTCGGGAGAGGGAAAGGCGCTCCACCTGGCCCTGCTCCAGTACAGTCCAATCACAAGGTAGGATACCGCAAATGAGAATGGCGCAGCTGAAAGGTGGTGTCGAAAGACCAAGTCGGTGATAGTTGAGAAGAAGAGTCATGGCAAGCGCTGCACCTAGCGAGAACCCCATAACTGCATCAAACGGACCATTTTCGCTCGCATATTGCGCTAATGCCGCCACAGCCAGCCGCACACTCTGCGGGGAATCATCGCAGTAGGAGTAGTACACCTGATCATGACCAAAGATCTCTGCGATGTTGGGATAGGCGGGCCATGGCAAGGCTCCGTCAACAAAGTCAAACTCATATTGATTCCCAAGAAGATAGCGAAGACGGGCTGTTAGAAGTTGAGTGGGGGCGTGTCCTAAGGACGGTGGTGGCAGGGGTACGACATACCTGTTTGGGCTTCGAAAACCTGCAATGGTGGGTTTGACGGAATGAGAGTCAGACTAATTGTTCCAGTGTCCGCGATCCCTGTTGCAGTCTGCCAATCACTTACTTCGCTGTTTGAGCCAATTCCATGCAAGCAAAGGATCCGCACAGGTCGGCTATCCATGGTAGCTTTGTTGGGGGAGGGACGACAGGGCGTCGTGAATTGGCTTGGTCTGATTTTATTGTTTTGGTCTCTCCTAGCGGTGGGACATAGCATTGCAGCAAAGGTTCATTTAATCTCTTTGAGAAAGAGGGGAAACAAGTCGATTAATTTAACTGGACAGCAACCTAGTAGGATCATTTGCCAGTCGGCAAGCTAATGCGAAGCTACCAGCTAGTACGTTACGTAGTCCGTTGTAACATGGGGGCCAAGGGCCAAAGAATTCTGGATTTCCATGGGTTATTACGGTACTGTCATACTGTTTTAATACAGTACGGTATTGTACTATATGGTACCCGTTACCGCTACCGAAGGTTCAACCACTAGTGCTCGAGGCATCTATCTATGTGCTCTTGTGTTGCATGCTTTAACATACTCTGCTGAGCCTTGGTTGAGTTTTTGCATGGCTGGACATATCAGCTTGGGTGAGACTTTAGCGTGGTTTGGTTCGACTGGGGTTGCCCAACTGCTTTGTCTCCAAGGAAATAAGAAAGAACTAATTCACAACGAACCTTTGTGGACAGTCCATTGATTCACATGATAACCATTTCTTGTTCATTTCACCTTCATATTGGCAAGACATCAGCGAAAAACGCTTTCCTCAATCTGAATATGCCTCTCCTCCAAGATACCAATCCCAATCATCAGGGTGATAGCGACAATGCTGCCGCCTTGGCAATTGTTGGGTTTGCATTTGAATTCCCCCAAGATGCGACATCGAGCGATGCATTTTGGGATATGATAACCAAGGGTCGATCTGCTAGTACAGACTTCCCCCAAGATCGGATGAACATTGATGCATTCTACCACCCGTCAAAGGAGAGGCCAAGCACGGTGCGAATTTCCTCGACAAGACATTGTCCCCCGCGAGCTAACATGACGCTATACAAAGATCTCAGTACGTGGGGGCAACTTTATTCGAGAGCATCTAGGGGCCTTCGATGCCCCCTTTTTCTCAATCACACCCGGGGAGGCAGCATGTATGGATCCGCAGCATCGACGAATGCTGGAAACAACCTACCTCGCACTAGAAGATGGTGAGCCAAGCCAGTCGTGAGATATTTATTGGGCTAATGGAAATGTCTCATCAAGCGGGTATTCCTATCGAAAATTGTTCTGGGACAGACACAGCCGTCTATACTGGTTGTTTCACTAACGATTATCTCAACCTGTTACAGCAGGAATTTGAGTCGGAACATACACACGCCGCAATGGGCGTTGCTCCGTCAATGCTTGCGAACCGGGTCAGCTGGTTCTTCAATTTCAAGGGCACCTCGATGAACTTAGACTCGGCTTGTTCCAGCAGCCTAGTTGCTCTACACCTAGCGGCGCAAGATCTACATGCAGGTAACTGTTCTATGGTATGCATCTTCCACCTCTACAGAAGCCCACAGTTACGAGCGGGCTCTTCATAGGCCCTAACTCCCCACTTCCTCCCCAACAATTTATAACACGTCAATTGACTCCAGACGCAGGCATTGGTAGGTGGTGCCAATCTAGTTTATCACCCGAACTTCATGAAGATTTTCTCCGCCTTCAACTTCCTCTCCCCAGATAGCCGGAGCTGGAGCTTTGACAGACGCGCAAACGGCTATGCGCGTGGAGAGGGTCTAGTCATGCTGGTAGTGAAGCGAGTTGCGGATGCTCTGCGAGATGGTGATTGCATCCGAGCCGTCATCCGCAATACCGGGTCCAATCAAGATGGTAGGACTCCTGGGATTACCCAGCCGAGTCTGCAGTCGCAGCTGGAACTTATCAATCATACGTACCAACAGGCAGGGATATCCATGGCGCCCACACGCTATTTTGAGGCACATGGACCGGGAACTCCAGTTGGGGACCCGATAGAAGCAAATGCCATCGGACTGGCATTCAAAGACCACCGTACGGAAGAAGATCCACTCTATGTTGGCTCCATCAAAGCCAATATTGGTCATCTTGAAGGAGCTAGTGGACTAGCTGGGCTAGTCAAGACTATTTTGATCCTTGAACACGGTATAATCCCTCCAATTGCTGGGTTTAAATCTTTGAACCCACGCATTGATGCAACGAGGTTGCACCTAGAGGTGAGATATTCCCACCATAGGTTTAAGCGTACGTACCTTTTGACCGAATTCTAGTTCCCGAAAGCAGCTGTACCTTGGCCGTCAACTGGTCCTCGTCGTGCTTGCGTAAGTAACATTACTGCATTATCCAAGCCCGAGACCGATCTGATGCTTCAGTAGATCAACTCCTTTGGCTTTGGTGGTACCAATGCAACTGTCATTCTTGATGATGCTTATCATTACCTGGAGAGAATTGACAAGTGTGGTTTTCATCGTACTCGACAATTTCCTCCGAGCAATACCGAACTCTCGACGAAAGGGCCAGGAGATGGCTCTGGGGTTACGAAAATTGTCTCTACATTGGAGATCCCAAGGCTACTAGTCTGGTCAGCGGCAGATAAGTCGTCAGCGGCGAAGCTTGGCGCAGCTTATCACGACTATGTAGGTAGGTATCCGCGAGACATGGCTGATGTAGCTTATACATTGGCTGCAAGACGGAGTAAACTATCATGGAGAGGGTTTACTATCACTGGCTTAAATGATCAGACTCTCGAGAATACGACAGGGCCAAACCTGCCGGTGCGAGCTCGGGAACGGGCCCGGCTTGCGTTTATTTTCACAGGTCAGGGAGCCCAATATATCGGTATGGGCAGGGAGCTCGTAACACATCCTGTGTTTCTCGATAGCGTGAAACTCATGGATGATGACCTGAGAGCTCTTGGTTGCCCATGGTCTCTAAGATGGCTGCTCGAGGAGGCTGGAAGCGAGACCCCCATCGACAAGCCTGAATTTAGTCAACCCGTAACAACATGCCTCCAGATTGCTCTTGTCGATCTTCTGGGGAGCCTTGGTGTGACTCCTAATATTGTCTTGGGCCACTCATCTGGAGAGATTGCGGCGGCATATGCCGCAGGTTCTTTATCGCGCTCGGCGGCTGTCAAGGTTGCCTACTACAGAGGCCTTTTGTCATCACAGCTGGCTAGCCAGAATACCAACTTGTCGATGATGGCTGTGGGTATATCCTCAAGCAATGCTCAGCCTTATCTTGACCGACTCCACGAACTTGAAGGAATATCAGAAGTGGAGATCGGCTGTGTTAACAGTCCGAATGGTATCACACTGACAGGCCGAGTAGACCAGCTGACCACTCTCCAACAGTGGTTCGAGCGTGACAGTGTATTTGCGAGAAGGTTACGAGTCCCAACAGCCTATCACTCCAGTGCAATGGAGGCAATTGCTGAAGACTATCGTCTGGCTATGGGAGACCTAGCTCGCGGACCAGAATCTACATTTATTCCTATGATATCATCAGTGACTATGGACATCGTGACCCCTGAAATGCTTTCCAGTCCATGTTACTGGGTCCGCAACATGACCTCCACTGTGAGATTTGAAGGAGCGTTATCACGAGCCTTGGTATTGGCGCAAAACAAAGCAAACCCCCGCAAACAATTGGGCCGCAAACACCCTGTTGATTTTGGCATTACCCATCTTCTAGAGGTTGGCCCTCACAAAGCCCTTCAAGGACCTATAGCAGAGACGATACGGGCTTCTAATTTATCCGAAAAGCCAGTGTACATACCACTGCTAGATCGAAAGCAGAATGCACAGCTTTCTTTATTGAAGATGGCAGGGCAACTGTTCTGCGCGGGTTACCCAATCGACATCCTCAGTGTGAATGGACTGGAGCATATCCCGCGGCCATTGCCTCCAAACCTACCAGTTTATCCCTTCAACCATGAGCGTATCTATTGGAGAGAAGGCCGCATCAGCAGAAACTTCCGATTTCCCGAAGTACCACGCCATGACCTTTTGGGAACGCGTAGTCTCGACTGGAACCCCCAAGTGGCCCAATGGCGTAACATCGTGCGCCTGAAGGAATTACCCTGGCTACGGGACCATACGATCGACGGCCAAATCATCTTTCCTGGCACTGGGATGGTGGTCATGGCAGTGGAGGCCTTGCGCCAGCTACCCTGGGTGGACCCGGATCTCGCGAGCATTGAAATCAAAGATGCGAAATTCCTACATGCCATCCGCTTTCCGGAAGGAAAGGAGGAGCTTGAGACTCAGTTGACTCTTAACACAGCATGGCCGAAAGAGTCGGTGGGCATCGCGTGGTCACAGTTCAGACTATTTGTAAATGAAGATGGTAGCTACATTGAATGCTGTCGAGGGCTCATCCGTGGATCTGCAAATCATCAGGCTCCGATTCCGGAGCCGCCCTTCACCAGCGGCACTTCATTACAGAACTGGGTAACTGCACTTTCATATGCGTGCCAGTCATCAGAAAACGCGTACGACAACCCCACTAGGAGGTCGGTGCAATATGGTCCGTGTTTCCAAAACTTGAAGAACATGCGACTGGGTTCCGGAGGCAAGGCAATTGCACACATTGACTTGGGCACATGGAAATCTGGTCCATGTGATAAATGGAGCTCCCAATACGCTGTTCATCCTGTTACAATGGACGGGTTAGCACAGCTTGTTGTGCCTGCGTTGGCTTATGAATTTGAAAACCTGCCCACAATGGTTCCTGTTCGAGCTGCAAGTATATGGATCAATCTCTTAGAACCTTCTATGTTGAATGGCAGAGAACTCCTTGCTGCAGCTCAATGTAGTCCCCGCGGTAATAGGGGCGCCGAGGCTGACATTATCAGCACTAGCTCTGATGGCAGTCAACTAGTGCTATATATCGAAGGCCTCGAGACGACATTTATCGAGGGCATTTCGACGGTCCAGGAACCTGAGAAACCCCGTAATCTATGCACGGGCCTAGTCTGGAAGGCAGATATTGATATGCTGAGCAACGAACAGCTGCTTAGAGAGATCTGCCGCGGTAGGCCCAATGAGCCATACGGTACTTTGAAGCGCCACGAATCACTACAGTTAGCGATTCTCGGTTTTCTGGATGAAGCGGTTGCTTATATTGACCAACACCCTGGTCTGTCCGTCCCCCTGTATCTCCGCCGCTATGTCGACTGGATGCGATACCAGCGACATCGCCTTAATAACAGGCTTCTGACAACAGCAAACAAATGCATCTTGCATGATAAGTCAGCTCGGGATGAGTTGGTCCTGAAACTTGAGAGCACAGATATCGAATGCTACTTCTTCATGCATGTTGGGCGGAACCTCATCGCCATTTTGTCGGGAGAAGTCGATCCACTCGACGTGATGTTTAGAAACGGACTAGCCGATCGCCACTATGAGCATAGGCTGGCAAATGAACATCATGCCTACCCTATATCCCGCTATCTGGATCTTCAAAGTTTCAAGAATCCATCTTTGAAGATTCTTGAAGTAGGTGCAGGAACTGGAGGTCAAACACTTTGCGCGCTGCAGGCCATTTGCTCACAGGGAGTCAAGAGATGCGAACAGTACGATTATACGGACATTTCACCGGGCTTCTTTGCTCAGGCCCAACAGAAGTTCAAAGACTTCCTTGATATTATGCGGTTTCGAACGTGTGATATCTCAAAGGACCCAGTCTCTCAGTCCTTTGAGCCGGGAACCTATGACATTGTACTGGCTTCTCACGTGCTGCACGCTACGGACAGGCTAGATATATCTTTGCAGAACATCAGGAAGCTCCTTAAACCTGGCGGAAAGCTGCTCTTGATTGAGACTACGGATCCTGACGCCCTTCAAATCCCTTTCGCATACGGGCTTTTAAAGGGGTGGTGGAGTCCACTGGACCATGAAGCGCGCTCTGACTTTAGTCCGTGCCTCACGCTGCCTCAATGGCATGAATGCCTCAAGAAAAATGGGTTTTCTGGGATTGATATTGAGATCCCAGGGCAAGGAATCCCGGCTTGCCAATACAGCAGCATTATAGTGTCGAGCGCAACAGCTGAGCACAGAGAAGTGCTTGATACTGTTGAGGACCTGATTGTAATTCGAGACCCCACCCAGACGTATCAGTCCGAGGTTGCAGCCACCATTGCACTTGACCGCCGTGCACTGATGCATACGCTGGATGAGGCAGCTCATCTTCACATCCGACCATCTACAATGATTATCGTCCTCTTGGAACTGGGAACAAGCCTCCTATCTGAGATAAGCCACACCGACTATGCGCTGTTGCAGAGGATCATGATCGAGGCCAAGAATGTTCTTTGGGTCACAGGACCAATTGTAAAAGGAGCGCTCATACCACAACACTCTTTGATAGAAGGGTTTGGTCGTACGCTCGCTTCAGAAGACTCCACACGCAAGTTCGTCACATATGCACTGTCTGGTCTTGAAACAGTGGCTCAAGCCACAACAAATATTCTACGACTATCGTCTCAAACTATCATTAGGCCGGTTGAATTTATGGAGACGAACTTTTCAACCTCAGAGGGTGTTTTGAAGATCCCTCGTGTCTCACAATACGAGCACATGAATCATATAATACATCAATACACTCGGGGTCGAAGAGAGGAGCAATGGTATCTTGATAACGAGCTTGGCTCTGCTCGTCGGGCGGCCACACTGGGATTCGGTGCATCGGGATGCACAAATGACGTGGCATACCAAGAGAACAGCGAATTCCAGGCTTCTACAACAGCAGATGATGAAGTGATTATCCAGATACAAGCTTTCGGGCTGACACCAAGAGATTACCTAGCCGCGAGTGGCCAGCTGAGCCAGAGTGGCTTAAGCACCCAGTGCTCTGGAATCATTCAACAGGCTACCGCCGCGTCGGGTTTCAAGGTGGGAGACAGGGTATGCGCAATTGGGACAGGAATGGCTGGCACCTTTATCCGTGCAAATTCCACTGCAGTAGCTCCCATACCTTCCGATTTGAGTTTCACACAAGCTGCCGCCTTGCCCACACCCCTTTGGACGGCATTCTACTCGTTGGACCACCTTGCAAGGCTCGTAGCGGACGAAATCTTGCTTATTCATCAAGCCAGTACCAGTGTTGGACAGATGGTGGTCCAGCTTGCCTTAGAACGGGGCGGGCGTGTGCTGGCTACCACAGACAGCGAGACACAGAAGATGTTTGTATGCGCAACCCTGGGCTTGCCAGAGTCGGACGTCCTGCTGTCCAATGACCCTTCGCTAGCACCAAAGTTGAAGGGCGCCACCAACGGACAAGGGTTGGATGTAATCATTGGTTCATTCGATGCTGATGCTAGACTCAATATAGCACGGTGCCTTGCTCCTTGTGGTCGGATGGTTGACATCAGCTGGGGGCAGGTAAGACATAGTCAACGAACCGGACAAATGCCGCACCCGAACACCTCGGAGACTGTGCTTGATATGGCACAGTTATTCGACCGCAAAGCGCATAGTGCTCGCACCATCTTTCAAAGAGCCATGAAGTGCTTCTCGACAAAGCCAATCCAGCCACCACAATCCATTAGTGTCTATAAGGCTGGGAAGGAGCAAGAGGCACTGCAACAGTACCAAGAAACAGATGTGGTTGGGGATCCAGTTGTTGAGTTTGTAAGAAACATACCCATTACGGTAAGTGCTACCCTTGATACATGACCCTTTTGTTGCTCAGTATTTCATCTCACACTGCAATACAGGTGAACTGCTCGTCCAAGTCTCGATACAAATTTCCCCAGGACTTCTCCTACGTTATTGCCGGCGGGCTCGGAGGACTAGGCCGCAGTTTTGCACGGTGGATGGCGAGTCGAGGAGCACGTTATATGATTCTGCTCTCTCGTTCTGGTCCGTCGACCCCCACAGCTCAAGAACTTGTTAAGGATCTAGAAAACTTGGGTGTCCGGGTTGCGACACCCAAGGTCGACATCAGTGACGTCAACCACCTAGAGGAAGTACTGGCGCAGCTTTCAAAATCTATGCCACCTATCCGAGGATGTATTCAAGCTACCGTGGCTCTAAGGGTATGTTATATCCCTGTCTCTTCGCACGGCAAGGGGCTGACGTGATGAAATATTATCGCAGGATAACCTATTCGAAAATATGTCTCATGAGGACTGGACCACCAGCATCAACTCTAAGGTCACCGGATCATGGAACCTGCACCGCGTTCTCCCACATGATCTTGATTTCTTCGTCCTTCTTTCGTCATTGAACGGCATCTTCGGTAACCGTGGACAAGCTAACTACGCCGCCGGCAACACGTTCAAAGACGCGCTGGCCCATCATCGGCTAGCACAGAAACAAAAAGCGGTCTCGATTGACCTAGGACTCATGGTAGGCGAAGGAATGGTTGCTGAGAGCGAGTTCCTCCTTACGGCTATGCGCCGGATCGGGCACCTGATGGAGATCGCTCAAGAGGAACTAGTCGCCCTCTTAGACTACTACTGTGACCCAGCGCTCCCTTTGCTCTCCGCAGACGAGGCACAAGTAGTCGTCGGAATTGAACTTCCAGCGGACGTCACGGCAAAGGGGATTGACCTGCATCATTCTATTCGGCGCCCACTATTTAGCCATCTGTTCCGGATGGAATCACGGAATGCGATCGAAGCCGGGAAGGATTCCTCCAGTCCCGCCGACAAGTCTGCAGTGGTCAACCGGCCAGCGGTTCTGAAGGCGCTTCCTTCGGTCGCCGAGGCGACAGACCAAATCGTTGAGTGGGTGGCAGCGAAGATTGCCCATGTGTTGGGATTGTCGCCCTCGGACATCGACTCCGCTAAGCCGGTGCACACGTATGGAATGGATTCGCTTGTTGCAGTAGATCTAAAGAACTGGTTTGATCGGGAAATTGGGGCGAGTATCACTGTTTTTGATTTAATGGGCAATTCACCACTGCGGCGGCTTTCGGAGATGGCGGCTGAGAAGAGTCGGTATCGTGCTTAGTGACTTACCAGTGACCTCAGGTGCTAGCTAGCTAAGTAGAGTTAAGAATTTAGAGTGAAATCTACATGTCAGATAGGAATCGCATGTTGTGCTGAGGGAAGAAATTGGCAGATTGCAAGGCGATTATCAGCGGAAATGTATATTTTTCTTGGCCGCTCAAGTACAGTTGAACGATATCATAGTTCTATGCGTGTTAATGTAACGACCTAACTCAAAGAATGTTATTCCAAGAAAATAAAAAAAAAAAAAAAAGGAGACAAACTTTGCAACCTGGAATGAATATTAAGATAAGTGAGACCACGAGCTTACAACGGAATTAATGCGAACTTCGTCGCTACGGTAATGGACTATTGGATCAGTTTCGTGAAGGTGCTGGATCGAAATTCCCTCAGACGTTGCCACACACCACGTTGGGAACCGTGGACGCCCGACCTGGCACAGCGGCTCAAGATACAGACAATTAGTACAGCGATAGAGCCAATTCCAGGGCAGCAGGCGAATCGGTGTTCTATGTGGAGAGGACTTGCGCCGGAGATGGAGATTTGATGAACGTGAAATTGTTGATCATCGTCCCCAGTTCAATGCCTGTATGTCTTATGTCACTGGGCGATATAATCATAGACTTTCTTTCAAACCCGCACTTCATCTCTCCTCTCTATGGCATATAGTTATATCATGTTGAAGTTTTCTATATTTTATAGTGGTATTACTACGCGAGAATACAAAACGTATTATAGTTGACATGGTAGCCGAATAAATATACGCGACGACTTCGAGAAATCTATCGTAACCGAGGGCTTGGTGATCCCATCCGTGGGTGGTTCGAGACGCCTGAAAGGGGACCTATGAAAAGCTTGGGCTTATTGCCAAACAGACCTCAAATTTTATTGGGCTATGGATTACGAGCTTTTCTATGGCATTGGGATTGTGTGAGCAGACGCGGGCCAGGCACAGAACGTGTCCTACATCTAATTGTAGTTGCCGACAGTGATATCTTCATAGAAATACACCCACTCTCTCGCTTGCACCTTAGTTAAATATAAAATATCAACGGTCTATGCCATAATTATGATGGCTGCATTAATTACCTTAATGTGACTCTAACAGAATTATTATCATTCATTATATCGATAGGAGATACTTCTCGTCAAGACGAGGTGAATATATATACCATATCTCAGAATAATGTAGACTTTATCATTGTCGAGACACAGACCAGTCTGCTGAAAGTTCTCCAAGAGGGAAGTAATACAACATACATACTTTTGAAGAAATGCTCATAAGAATTTTATTCTCTCGCGTTATCGGCTGCAAGACCATATACTCAGAGAAATGGAAATAACCGCCTCAAGCAATTAAAGCTGTGTACAAATTCCAGCCATGCAAACAGGAACAGCGAAGTAGATTCGCAATTATTGGGTCCCTGACACCAAAATCGTAACGTGACTCCCATGAGCACTAAGTCAGTGGCAGCCAAGGAATGGTATACGATATACGAACATGAACTCGGGCCCACACTAAAGACAGGTCGGTCTTGCTGAGTACAATGTGTATCAGCGCAAAGGTGCAGGCATATCGTGGAACATGGGGCTGAGTACCATGTCAGTCTGGCCGAGTATCAACTTTACGGTAAACGCTACACTACTTCATAGCGGCCACTCATCAATTCGGTGGGCTCTGGACTTGTCAGCATCTAGTTCGGCTAGACGAGAAAGATGGGACTGGCAAGGCAGTGACTGATCCTTCACATGCCCCTTGAGTAATACGTGAGCAGATTGTAGTAAAGGCAATTCCAAATAGTAGTATGACAGTGAAAAGACGGAAGTCGGGGCGAATTTTTACTTCAGCATAAGCGTGCATTGAAGGACCTTTACAGCTATATAAACTGGCATACGGCACCTGCCTGTCGGTGTCTTTTTCGGGGATATTGAGTTTTTCGCCTTTGGCTAGACATATTCATATTGTTGACTTCGATTACCGATACCTCACGAACATCGGCTCGAAAGAACCTAGAATATATCAACGTCTTTGAGGATCTGACAATCATGCCGAAACCTTCTACCATCCAGTCCAGCATTCGTGGAAGGCTACTACAATTCCAAAGCAAGGAGAAACCTGCAGAGGACCAACCAACAGCCACTCCACGGACGACAAGAAATAATGTGCAGGCTCAGTACGGAGGTATCGACAAGTCTGGTGTCCTCCAAGCGTTTCCGTCTGCCTGGTTGCCATATATCCAGCTCGTCCGGCTGTGGCCTCCAGCCGCCCTTCTGCTCATTTTCTTCCCTCACGCATTTGGCATCCTGCATGCTGCAATCAGAATGCAAGCTCCAACAGAGCACGTCTTGCGAACCAGCATTACGATCTTTGGGGGCTGCTTCTTCTTCTCCAATGCAGCTCACACATGGAACGATCTGATCGATGCACCCTTGGACGCCCAAGTGGAACGGACACGAAAAAGACCAATCCCTCGTGGGGCCATCACACCAAAAGCGGCTATTATCTTCGGATCCACTCAGGTGCTAGCTGCTGTCATCTTTCTCGCATGTATGCCGTTAGGGGTTTCGACTTCCGGTCTATACGCCTTACCCAACATCATCAGTACGACCTACTACCCGTTCGCTAAGCGGCACACTCGGTTCCCACAACTCGTTCTCGGCTTTTGTCTTGCATGGGGTGTGGTCATGGGAGAGGTGGCCATGGGAGTGCAGCCCATTGCTTACTCTCCAGACAAGGCCAGTGTCGCCGTCGACACTTCGGTCATCTTTCTCGTAACGGGAACTGCTTTGTGGGTCCTCATCTATGACACAATATACGCGTATCAGGACCTTCAAGCCGATCTGAAAGTTGGAATCAAAAGTTTAGCAGTGCTGCTGCAAGACCACACCAAAGCGGTGCTGTGTCCCGTCCTGATGCTCATGACCGGCCTCCTAGTGGAAGCTGGCCGAGCAAGTGGGCTAGGGACATCGTATTACCTTTTTGCAGTGTGCGGGGCTAGTGTGTCTCTCGGTCTCATGGTCTGGTACGTAAATCTGCAGGATAGTCGGAGCTGTTGGTGGTGGTTCAGCAACGGCTTCTGGTGGACTGGTGGCACTATCATGATTGGGTTGTTGGTGGAATATTCAACGCAGGTCAGATTTTAGCTTCCTGCGATGTAGAAGTAACTCCCGCTCAGGGTCCGACGAATTTGCGGTGCGGGCCGCCGAGAGTAGACATCATTCAGCCTGTACACTAAAGTAGCTCTAGTCCGATTACATAGTGGGTGCAATGCTAGAAGTTGTGGGGTGGTCTTGCTTGCTGTTTTGTGAACTCGGCAGAGATGGCATCTGAAGATCAGTCCCTTGTAGTGAAATGTTGAGCTTCAAAGCCCCAGTCTTTCCATGTATTTCACCAAAATCCTTCGTAATGGGGCAATGATCTTACAGAGCATGTATCGTGTGACGGCGTCTGCCACCAGCTTGGCTGAGCGGGCATCGTTTCTCGGCTTCAGCTAGCCACTGAGACACGGAGTCCCACAGATTATACTTCCTTACCCTCTGGTGCAACATGATGAGCATTAGTTGCTGCGTTAATTGTGCTGGAACGTTCATTCCAGGCGTTATGACCGGCCGTGATTGAGTCATGTGATTAGACTACACTAAATGTAGACATGTGCTTCGACATACCATATTACTGATACTGCCCAGCCATGCAGCTCTTATATCTTAGCTTGGTGGTTGGCTGGATCACCTTCCAAGCCGAGATGGCGAACCCACTGCGTAAAAGCACTCTGGTGAATGTTCAAGATACCTCTACTTCTTCCCTAGAAGATATCTTCGCACTTTCTACTCTCGCTGTGAACTTTTATTTTTGGAATTCCCTGGAGTGCTAATTTACCTTTGCGACAGTTTGTCAAATATCTAGGGGCTTTTTGTCGTCAGCATTCCCCCAGTAGATGCAGAAACACCATAATCATAGTCGGAAGTTCACGTGGCACCATTAAGCCGCGGCATGTCATCTTGACCATTGTTGTCCCATAATCCGGTATATCCGGTGTGTAAGTCACAGATACGAATGAAGAAAAGTATCAGGGGTGGGGGCCTTTCTGATGTTTGAATGCCGCCTGAGAACCTTTTCCGACCCCTTTCATGAAATTCCATTGCCAAAAGGTATGCTCCTGAGCACTGATGTCGCATATCAGTGGGGTGGTCTAGTCGATCAGACGAATCGGGATGATTTTATCAGACTTAAATCATGTGCTTTCCCCACTCCCCCACTGTGCCCTGCCCTAGTGACGATAGGGTCTTCCATCGGAGTGATTAGCATGTGGAGCGGGAGGATCGTGTGTAGGGTATTCCTCTTGGTCCCTATTTGTCTGGTCGAGTAGACTAAAACTTGGCACGGTTACCGAATCTGAGTGCAGTTGCCAAGTAGAATATTTTGTAGCGGTGCCTCTCGATAATGAAATACTTTCTAGCAATAGTATCGGGCACCCTTCGCTGTGTAGGATGTATTTGATGATCCTAGACATGCCTACTACTCCCAGAATTATCGGTGGATATACACGATGACTATGAATCAGCTGACTTTTTTGATCGGTCAAATTACAGAAAGCCCCTACTGCACACATCCCTAGCTAAGAAAAGGGATATCTTGAATAAATAATCTTCTCCTGAGCGATGTATACGCTGTGGACTGAAAGTTAGACTTTACATTCAGTCACTGTTTTTCTCCCTTATAGCAAACTGCCTTTGAAACAAAGTCTTTCCCATACGATTGCATGCTAGATCCCAATCACTGCCTCGGGTCCATTTACGATGGTAAGGCTGATACCCAAGTAAGCTACCCAGCCAACGGCCGAGCGTAATCCCCATCCCCATAGCTATAACTGACCCGAAGGGCACCCACTCCGGCAGTGACAGATAGGAGCCCCCAGCATCGAACATCTGCCCACATGGAAATAATCAACTCTGTTAGCCAAAGCTTAGCACAAAGAGTATGAAAGGGGTCATTCAAGGAAACAAACTCACCGACATGACCTGTAATATATCGACATTATTCCCCACAACTACTGTCTCCTCCTGGTATCCGTACCAATTCATGAAAAACAATATATCCAGCTTGAATGTCTCCACAGTATCCTGCCCGGATAATAGAAACCGTATTATCCCACCACCCCCTGATGATATCATAGCATCGTTTGATCGCTGCAGTGCAGGAAATAGAGGCGGATACAATCGATGATTAACCCACGGACGAATGCAGAATCGCCCACTCTGGGGAGTCAGAGTGTACTGTTGGCTCCCAACATCGACGCACAACTCCCCTTCCAGGACTTCTATGTACTCTTCCTGATGTGGATGGAAATGCTTTGGGGGCTTGACGTTCTTGAGGAATGAAGGCCACTTGTCAAGACGGAAGGTGATTTCAAAGGCGAAGACAAAGGGTGGGATGTGCCGCTCCTGGGCGATGATTGCTCCATTGAAGCTGTAGCTTCCTGATTAGAAACAATGCAAGTATTGGATGGAGCGAATGTCGAGGTATTTACGTACCCTTTCTGGATAGAAGGGCCGGAAGGGAGTTCAGTCGAGGTCATGATGGTGAAGGGTTGGTTTTCCCTTCAGCTAGGCCCTCTTGTTAATTTGTAGATGACCATGGTGTCATATCGGGGTCTAACCAGTTAGTTATATGGCTTTACTGACATGTAGCACACATTGACTTGACTAGGGGCGGGAACGAGGACGGAAGTAAACACTTTGTAAGCAGCTGGGATTGATTGCAGTCTTGAATAGTGGGTATGAGAAAATTTGCTGACTGATATTTACAACCCGCTGCTGACATTCGTTGGAGACTGGTTATAAAACCGAAATAAGCACTAAGCTGATGGGTTATAATATCCGCATCAGCATCCAAGTTTGAAACTTGCAGGGAAACACATTACGCAATGCCTTCGGGTGAGGCTAAGACGGGCTGAAAAATATCTAGAAGAAATGCAAGCACCTTTCAGTCCGTCTTTTCTTCTCTAGTATTCTATGACCGGTATCATTGTCATACCTGGAGAGATCGTCCCGATGTAGTCATCCAATACAAAAGCGCTGCTTGCAATTCGTGGCTCAGGTATTGTTTACATGGTACTTCAACTTTACGCTCCCATATTGGCGTATGGCAATGATTGGCAATAGTGCTTTATCGAACCGACCCCCGCACGGAAGCGTTGAAGATAAGCAGCCGGCGAGATAACTCGGCTAGCCTTATACTTTAGCGACCATGGCAGCATAACTTGACGCACGCCGCGCCTAAACTTACTTTTAGGGTCGTGCCGGAAGGTCGGTGCGAGAGTCGGTCGGCCCTGTCCGGTTAATCCTTAACTTCATGGAAGCGGGATGCGGAACTCAATGCCACGGAGCAGCAGTGTCGCCTAAACCTAACCGTTTGGGAATGCTTCTGGGCATTCCAAGACTCTGCTTATCTCCACACTCTGTTGCAGGATTTATCAGCTCAAGCCTATAAGTCAGACTATACCTCATATTTCGTTCCCAATTCAAAACCACAGCCAACATTTCGTGCGAGATCTTTCACCTCTAGCTATGCCGGTTCCCCACCCCTTTGATCCTTTGAGTCCAAAGGAGATCGCAAAGGCATGGAAAAAAGCGAAAGCCATATACATAGTTGTTTCTAACAGTGGTCTCAGGCTGCGGATATTGTACGCCATGCATTTCCCGGGAAAACCCCCAATTTTCGAGTGATAACCCTGAAGGAACCTCCAAAGGCAGATATGGTGCCCTTTTTGGAGCAGGTTCATAAAGGAAATGGTGCACCGAAAAGGCCTGCGAGAGTTGCTCGTGTCCAAGTAGTCCTTCCTGGAGGTTCTTCTGCAAATCAGTTTATTGAGCTCCTAGTCGACCTCGAGGACTCTACAATCCTTGAAAGGAACACCTGATCGGAAGGCATCCGTATATTGACTCTGATTACATGAAAGCCGCCGAGAAGGCGTGCATATTAGATCCGAATGTCCAAGAAGAGATTGCCCGCTTGCAACTGCCGGATGGTGCTACCGTTGTTGTGGAGTCGTGGGCATATGCCACAGATGGCACCAAGGACACCTCACAACGGACTACCATGGTAAATACATCATATTGATCAAAATGCACAACGGCTGGATGTTAACCAGGTATATAGTGTTGGTTTTACATGCGCTTGGTGGATGACGCCGATGCCAATTACTATGCCTATCCTCTAGATCTGTGCGCGGAAGTATCGGAAGACTTGAAAGTCACCAAGACGTATCAACTTCCTTCTGGTCCAGACGATCGCATTCACGACAAGCCGGAGCCATTCGATCGCCGCAAAATCCACGGCGCAGAGATCGAGTATAGCCCTGGATTGAGAGCTTCACCGCGAACAACCACAAAGCCATACCAAGTGGTACAGCCGGAAGGCCCCTCATTCAAGACACAAGGAAACTATTTAGATTGGGAAAAATGGTCCATGCACATCGGGTTCAACTACCGAGAAGGCCTCACCCTTCACGACATTCGCTACGATGGTCGAAGCCTCTTCTACCGCTTGTCCCTTGCAGAGATGTTTGTGCCTTATGGCGACCCGCGAGCCCCTTACCCTCGCAAGGGGGCATTTGATCTTGGCAATGACGGGGCGGGGATTAATGCTAACAACCTCCGTCTGGGCTGTGACTGCTTGGGTCACATCAAGTATTTTGATGGCTGGCACACGACTACTGCAGGGGACCCACTAAAGCTTCCGAACGTAGTCTGCTGTCATGAGGAAGATGACGGCATTTTGTGGAAACACACAAACTACCGGACGAGGAATGCGGTGGTGACGCGCTCGCGGATCCTCGTCCTGCAAACCATCATCACCGTTAGCAATTACGAATATATCTTCGCTTTCCACTTTGGTCAGGATGCGTCGATTCATTACGAAGTACGCGCTACTGGAATTCTTTCAACCGCACCGATTGATATTGGCGACAAAGTACCGTGGGGTACCATTGTCGCGCCCGGCGTTCTAGCCCCCTATCATCAGCATCTATTCTGCCTGCGTATGGATCCCGCAATCGATGGTCACAGCAATTCTCTGCAGGTCGAAGAATCCCATGCTATACCTGTCGACGTGCACGGCTTTGACCATACCGGTAAATCTCAAGAACAAATCGACTCGCATAGAAACCCCTTCGGCGTCGGATACGTCACGCGCTCTTCCATCGTGGAGGAAGAAAGCGGCTTGGACCTTGATATAAATAAGAATCGCACCTTCAAAATCATCAACGAGAATGTCATTAACCCGGTAACTGGAACCCCGGTAGGCTTCAAATTACTTCCCGCCTATAGTCAAATGCTGCTCGCACACCCGGATTCGTACCATGCCAGGCGCTCAGAGTTTGGACAGCACGCCGTCTGGGTTACGCGGTACACCGAAGAAGAACACTTCCCTTCTGGCCGTCACACTATGCAGTCACTAGGTGGCGACGGGATTGCTTCGGCGATCGCCAAGCGAGCTGGAACCGAGCATTCCTCGGTGCGCAATAAGGATATTGTCATCTGGCATACTTTCGGGTCGACTCACAACCCCAGAATCGAAGACTGGCCCGTCATGCCCTCGGACAAGATGGTAGTTGGTCTTAAACCTGTCAATTTCTTTACTGGTAATCCTGGTCTTGACGTCGCAATCTCAACGCAGGAGAGGAACAGGAGTGTCTTGGTTGAGGGAGGGGATGATGTTGACCCCAGGTCGGGTTGTTGCCATCTGTAATATTTTTAGTTGTAGAGCCAGCCTGCAGTGGCCGATGTGGCTGTAGAATCTCCCTATATAGAGATGCTATGGAACGCCCTTGATCGATGACATACTTGTCACAAATTCCCCAAGCAGTTACGTCTTTCAAGGCCCCGTATATTTCCCCACGACGCAGTAATGACTCTATACCAACACTCTATAAAGACCCATTCTTTCTTCCCTTGCCACGGCCTTCAAAGCTCCAGTCAATCTGCGTCGCCATCCTCACCTTCACCCCCAACTCATTTGCAAACGCACGGACAAGCCCAGGGTTCTGCTGGAACCAGCGACCAGCCAGTACAGCATCGATACCAGATTGCACAACCTCTTCAGCAAGCTTGCCAGTCTTGATTCCTCCAACAGCGGTGACCAGAAGCCTGTCACCAACTGCTTTTTTCACCTCGTGCGCCAAATGCACCTGATAAGCAGGACCAGACCTGATAGCAATCGCAGATTTGGAATGAATCCCACCTGAGCTCACATCCACCAAATCAACCCCATGATCAGCTAATATTGGAGCGAGCCGAACAGATTGCTCAACCGTCCAACTCTCCGGAAATCCCTTCTTCAACCCCTCATCAAACTCAAACCAGTCCGTCGCACTGATGCGCACAAGAAGAGGCATTGTATCCGGGATTGAAACCCTGATAGCGTCGCACACCTCCAGCAATAGCCTAATCCTATTCTCAAAGCTCCCTCCATACCGATCCGTTCGGTGATTACTCACAGGACTCAGAAACTGATGCAGCAGGTACCCATGCGCCGCATGAACCTCAATCGCATCAAACCCCGCCCTGACAGCCCGTTTCGCAGCTCCTGCAAAGTCCTTAACCAGCTTCTCAACCTCCGCCTCACTCAAAGCCCTCGGAACCGCATTAACCCCCTCTTCATGCGCAATCGCTGAAGGCCCAACAATCTCATCCGGCCATCCACCAACCTCCTTCACAGCCATAGCATTGACGCTTAACCACGGAGCAACAGCGCTAGCCTTGCGGCCTGCATGCGCTAGCTGGATAGCTATCTTCTGGCTCTGGCTATGGGCGAATTCGGTGATTCGTCTAAGAGGCTCGATCTGTCCGTCTTCGTAGAGGCCGAGGTCTTGGGGTGTGATTCGGCCTATTTTCTGCACTGCGGTTGACTCCATGATTGCCAGTCCGGGGCCGCGTTGTAGGATTCCACCCAGGTGGGTTAGGTGCCAGTCGGTTGCGTAGCCATCTCTTGCGGAGTATTGGCAGAGAGGGGCGAGGAAGAGGCGGTTGGGAAGGGTGAGGGACCGGATGGTCAGGGGGGTGAAGAGCTTGGTTGTGCCCTCTAACTGGGTTCCTGCTGGTGGGGTTTGTGCTGGTGTGTAGTAGGAGATTCCTTGTGCGGGAGGGTTGTCGATTGGGGTTTGGGTGGTGGGCATGGTTGTGGTTAGGGTTCTTGGGTGCGATTCGGATTTGTTCATCGGTTTCTTGAATTTTATTCGCGCGTGAGAAGAATGATGGAACTCTATTCATATACCAATCTCGCTATTTGCGAAGACCTACGCTGGGTACGATATAAGTATCATTCCATCTGTTATTCTTGCAGGGATTATTGGCCGTGATTATAAATCGGTAGATTAATAATGCCCGATCACGCCATGGTAGAGAAGGTTGCTTGCATGGGGTATTTGGGAGATGTAATTGGGTCACAATAGAGCCCGGCACTAGTGGTAGAGCAAGCTGCATATACTACCGAGGATTTAGAGTAAATATTACGTTCTACTTTGCCTGCGTCCAATAAATAACTTGGCACAACGACTATTGAAGCGCTTAATTGTTATGTCTCATTTGACTTCGAGCATATTAGCTCTGAAGTTATTTTGAATGCAATTTAATAATGTGGCTGCGTGTGGCTAATGCTACAACTTTTGAGAAAAGGCCCCAGGCTATCACCATTTCGGGTGCAAGGAAAATTGATACGTTGACTCTGTTGGATTTGAGTCACCAAAGTTACACGGCACGGATATCCATCTACTGGATGAGTGCCAGCTTTTTCAGACTGATATGCTCTTTCGCCGTGCTGCAGCTTAGGCCTCTTGTTCTGAAAGCCTACAGACTCAGCAATGTGATCAAACCAGCCCCTCTGTTTCGCCTTCATCGCATCCAATTCATCGTAGGCTGGCTTGATATCGAATGTCCGGGCGGTCATCACCAAGACTGTCCGCATCTCGTTGTAGACAAGAGTCTGGCCAATACAGTTGCGCGGTCCCTGCTCAAACGGACGATAGGCTGCCGGGTCGGGGTAAAGTTCGTGGCCTGGTTCAACGAGCCACCGGTCTGGGATGAATTCTCTTGCTCGTGGCCATACCCTTGGGTTGAGATGCGTCGCCTGGTGTAAGATGACGACGCAAAAATCATCTGCCAAGGGGTATTGGTAGCCGTGTCTGTCAGCAAGTGACAAACCATTGGCGCCTTGACGCATAGTGCCTGCAGGTGAGTAAAGCCGAAGGGTTTCTTTGATAACTGCCATTGTATATGAGCATTGATTGAGCAAGGAAGGTTGTTCGCGGAGTTGCAGCGCCGCAGCTGAAGGATCTGGTCCGAATATGTGGTCGTGTTCTTGACGCACTCGAGCCAAAGCTTCAGGGTGCTTAGATAACAAGTGATACACGTAAGCGATGCTGCTTGAAGTGGTATCAGTTCCGGCAAAGAGGAACAATCGAATCTGATAAGTCACATATTCTGCGAAGCGATCGTCTAGCTGTGTAGCTTCAGTGATCTCTTCGTTCTTATTCTCAAGGTATGCTTCCAAGGCTAGAGTAAGGATGGATTTGGCTCTCTTAGAACGAGAAGATACATCCCGTTTGGTTTGCTTCATCTCGGAGAATCGCTCATTCAGGGCTTTACGAATGCATTTGTTCACAACGCGACCGTAATATCCCTGAACTAAAGGCCGGAGTGGGTGTGCTCGTACGCGAGGGTCCCAAAAAGAATGCCATTTGGTAATGTGGCCAAGAGCAGTTGCAATGATGTTGTCGGAATGCTGATGATCAAGGTCCGCGTCGCTAACCTTCTCGTTAGCATTTGCCATACAATGGGAGGAAGGGTAAACCAACAGCGTCACTTTGAGAATGACATCCATAGTTAATCTGGTGGTTAGGTCATCTAATGCGAAGAATTTTCCAGCATTTGCTTTCTCGTGCAACTTCTCACAAAAAACACCAACCGACTTTATAACTTCTGGAAGAAGATCCTGCATGCTACCTGCACTGAATCCCGGATTGAAAATTGATCTCCAGACCTTCCACTCAGCATTTCCCATAGAAATCATACTAGGCCCGCCGGTAATCGGTTGCATGAACCGAGGCTGTATGACTGCTTTGGCAAGGTTAAGCTTATTTGTCGCCTGTGATGCCGCTTCGGGATAGAAAACTATATACTGTGCGGGAGACATAGGCCAGACATCCAATAGAAAGATCTCCGTATCAGTATGTTCCGACGCCAGCTCTTGCGTCGCAAGCACAACATTGGCATCTTCGGGTAGACGATTAACATAGTCTGAAAGAACCAGCAAGTGGCCAGTTAGCCAGCTCCATCCCGCTGGCATTCGCTGAACATGGTGTTAATGATCATATAGTAAGCTTCGCAGGTAAGATTGAGCTTACCACTCCTTGTTTACGGAGGCGGTTGATTTTGGAACGGTGTTGGTAGAGCGCACGGAGTCCATACGCGGCCAGGCTTAGAAACGGTAGGCAGATGGTCAGTATAATGTTGATGGAAGCCATTGGTGTAGACTTGATGTCCCTCGCTTCCACCAAGGCAGAATAGATAGGCGATCGGAGGAAGCGGTTTAGTGAGGGAGTGTTTGAAGAGATCATGGGCAGGAGGCGGTGAGATTAGGCGGGCAGTTGCCTAAAAGGGTAATTGTGTAACACTCCAGTCCAGCATTTCCCAGCCTCGATCGCTGGTTCTGTGTGCAGCACATCTCAACAATGCTTATATTAGCATCTTGCGGAGCCTCAACTGCTATGCATGCCTATGCGGAGGATATCCAAGCGTAAGCCAGAGGCTGTGTCTGGAATGATATTCGGATAAGCCCAAGTTACAACCACCGTTGGTCTGCTCGGACACGCGTTTTGTCCATACGAATATCGAAGATGATGTAAATATCAACTTGTCAGTGGCCTGAGTGCATCATCCCTTGCTTGTATCATACCAGAGCACGGCCGCGATTCCTCGGCCTTACTGCTCAGTACCTCAGCAACTCACCTTGGTGCGTCAAGTGGGAGATGTCGCGTAGTACATGAAGGGTATAGCAATCTTGAAGGAGCCATATTGGTAGCATGAGTTGGATAATGGCATTTGCAACGTTAATAGAGCACTAACTTCCACTGCTGATGCTGTCGCTCAGAGACATAACGGGTACTCCGTAACCTCCGAGCGATGCACCTTAGTCTGAAGAGTTACATGCCTGCGATCAGAGTGCATATAGCTCAATGTGAAAGGTAAACTGGGCCTTTGCATATGAAGGGAAAATATACCAGCTGATATCTGCGCAGGCTACTCATACAGTATTGGTATAGGAAACGGCCCTGGCCTTCATCGTAGCCAGGACACTCAAGACAGGGGTGTCGCTTGTGAGACTCGGAAGGGATATCGATACCGACCCAGTGATGACAAGCGTCCTTGAGAGGCAGAGCTAGATGGCTATTGCTAAGCACGCGTGAAATTTGGAAGAGAGAATATCAATTCCAACATCTCACGTTCTAAGTCCAAAGCGCTGGTAATTGAGGCTGAGTGTTCAAAGGGAGACTGAGAATCTCAAGGCAACCCTCGAGCCCCTTGCTTCTTTTTGGGAGGCATTATCATCCTCGTGAGGTCGATAAAATGCAGTCAGCATTGAGTATGTAGGAGAAATCCAGTGAGCCGCTCAAGTCCCCGCACATTCAACCCAGACACTCGTGCAACCACTGGGTCTGACAGCCCAGCTATACATAAAGCGGTGTTCCCGTCGGAGAGGTGCACCAAGAAGTGCATGTACACCTGTATACGATATGCCCAGATCATTCAGGAAAGGTTCAACATGGACATCTCCTCGCTAAATCTCACGTCTAGTCAAGCTTCTCAGGCTCCGCCGGTCATAGGTGATATCGGTCGAATTACCCAGCGGCAATATGGGGTAAGGCTATTTCAAGCATAATATTATCCGAAGGCGTAACTTTAACCAGATATGTATGAATACCAGATAGCCGTTGGAATATTCTTCGCGTTAGCGTCACTGTCGTTTCTTGGCCGCATCTTCATCCGACTCTTCACCCGACGACGCCTCTATTTGGACGATGCATTCCTTAGCTTTGCTTTTACCACCCTGCTGATAGGAACGGTACTGGGCTTTCTCCGTGCATACACCATCTACTTTCAGATGGCAGCATTGGAAGGAAATGTTGATGCACTTCTCTTTCTCGCCTCACATTTAGAAGAACATGCGAAAGATTATGGCTTTAATATCGCCTTTATAGTCCTTCTCTGGACCACAGTCTTTGCCGTCAAGTGGTGCTACCTGGCATTCTTTCACCCCCTCCTGGTGGGGATGTCACGCTGGTTTATCCTTTATTACCGTTGCACTGTCGGGCTATCCTTTGTTTCGTGGATCTTGAGCGCCTTCGTCGCACCGATCGTTCCTTGCCCGTATACAGGAATGAGGGCAATCTGTAAGGATCCCCCGTCAACGATAATCTCTCACACTAACCATTTAAAGCAAAATGCTTCCCCTCTTTACCTGTCCCGAACAGCACGGTCCTCGCAATGGTCTGGCTTCCACCGATCTTGGATGCGCTCACTGACCTGATGAGTATGTCACTTAGCCAGATGAGGATTAGCTATAACTAACTTTTCCCAGTCATTAGTATTCCAATGCGATTGCTCTACAAAGTTCAGTTACGAACCTTGACGAAATTAGGTCTTGGATGCTTCTTGTGTCTCTCGATCTTCATGTGCACATGCTCCATCATTCGCACCGCAGGCACGTGGTACCACGGACTTCTCGACTACCCATGGCAGGTATTCTGGCTTCATTTGGAGGGGTGCATTGGAGTCACCATGGGATCCATCACCGTCTACCGGTCTACTTTGATCGGATCCAACGAGGTCTCAACTGCGTTCAAGAAATACTTCATCCGGATCAAGGACGCGGTGTTCGGTTCGTCGAGTGGCATAGCAGAGGGGTCACCAGCGGAGGAAAACAAAACCCAGACACGTCAGATTAAACTACCCTCTATTCCGCAAGCGACCATTACAGGGTTGCGAACATGGTTCGGTCTCTCTAGGAAGGACCCTGCCACTTCCAACGGTGACTCCGGACTCACCAGCTTTAACAGCGATATCGATTACCATACTTTGTTGAAAGCCCCCACGGCAGCGGCAAATCACCGTCAATGAGGCCTAGGATCGGCTTTTGTTGTTTCTCTCAATAATCTGGGCATGGATGAACTCCGATACATTTTTTTATGTATCTGGAACTCATGATGATGTTTGGAAGATAAGTAAGAGGCAGTGGTGGTCGGAGACCACGCATACAGAGTTGGCTAAAGATCCAGATGATCACTGGCTAGGTGAATGTCTCAGTATAATATTATCGGGATCGGAGTTAAGACGCGACATGTCATATATGATATACGCGGCGATAGCATATCTCCAGCACAGACAGAAGGATCAGAATGGATGGACCGCGTCAAACACCCGGCTTAAGTCCGCGGACATTGGGTGCCGCTTTGGGCTTAGTGGCTGATAACCGTGATATATAGGACCATCAGGAACTGGTATTTAGAGAATTAGACAGGCTACTTCAAAGATAATACTTTCTATTTAAGATAATCTGCAGTTTCTCTTCAAAAAATTCCTATTCCACCCACAATGGCCTCAAAAGACCTTCCCCCATCGACCGCTCCCTTCTTCCCCAATGTCTTCTTTCATAACCAATTCTGTGCCAAGCCCAACTGGCCACCCGCAACCACAACCCTCTCTGGTCAAGTTGCCATAATCACTGGAGGAAACAGTGGACTGGGATATGAGTGTGCATTCCAGCTTCTATCCCTTCAACTGAGCCACTTGATCCTCGCCGTTCGCTCTCCCGAAAAGGGGGAAGCCGCAGCAGCTAAGCTTCGAGCCGTTAATCCCACGTTAACAATAGATGTATGGCCACTTGACATGAGCTCATATGCCTCCATACAAAGCTTTGCAAAGCGGGTCGAAAACCATCTTTCTCGCCTAGATATTGCTATCCTCAATGCTGGGGTGAGAAAACCCCAGTTCACCACCGATCCGAACACCGGCCACGAGGAAACAATCCAAGTCAACTACCTCTCAACCATGTTCTTAGCTATTCTACTTCTTCCCAGCTTGAAGAAGAAATCTCCGAGGGGAGTGTCGGGCCGATTGACTATCGTCAGTGCGGCATTATCGCTTCTGCCAAGCTTACCCGACGTGAAGGATGCGCCACTTCTAAGGTTGTTCGATCGCCGAGATACATATGACGCCAATGGCAGTTACTGCATGTCAAAACTTCTAGCTCATGCGTTTCTCTACAAGCTAGTCGACCATGTCGCCGCAGATGATGTGATTGTTAACCTAGCAGATCCGGCCTTTGTGAAAGGCACAGACCTGGGGCGGGATTTGCCTGGTTATGCGAAGGCTGTGTTGGCAGCATTTGGAGCATTGACAGGAAGGACAGTCAAGGTCGGTGCATCAACGTATGTTGATGCTGCTGTACTAAAAGGGAAGGAGTCCCATGGGTGCTTTCTGATGAGTTGGAAGATTGAGCCGTATGTATTCCCGACTTTCTTTGGATTTCTCACATAATAACTGACCCGCGCATGTTCAGATTCAATGCGTCGTTGTATACGCCCGAGGGGAAGCAATCTATTGAGCAGCTGTGGCAGGAGACGATGGATGAGCTTGATTTTGCCGGTGTGCGAAGAATACTTGAGACTCTGTAGTTCTCAAAAGGGCCAAAGCACCTAGCCGCTATCATTTGATAGTTGTTTCTGACAGCTGAGATCGGGTTCCTAGTCCTATGACAATGAAGAGTTAGCAACACCAGAGCAATTATATTCCTAAGATTTGACCAACGGGCGAAATACGGAAGAATGGAGCGGATAAAGTTTCTATGTAAGGTTCACGCAATGAAAATCCTCGCTTAGACTTTGAAATGTCTGCGCATAAGCACACCCAATGCAGCATAAAAAGGAGATTCTAGGACTCAATGACGTTGAAGAAATCCGTATGCCTCTCAAATCTCCAGATCAATCGGGGAGTGGGGACAGTACTCCACACGGGCCCACTTGGCCAGCATGAGTGGGCATGAGTCATTCTGAGTCGAGATGAGCACACCAAATCATGATCGTAGCACAGCCCACTCCTGGGCCCAAACTGCTTGCAGTTTCCAGAATTAGCCATGGACAGATTAAAAATGCTACACTTTAATACAGATCTCTCACCTGAGGAGCTCCAGATTCGGGGGACTCTGCCCCACCCGAGCTTCCTATTCCACGTGACGTTACCCTGCAGGCCCAGCTATATAACTCTACCTCAATCCTCATGAACATCACCTGAAATTCCCATTCAAGAGCTCAATTGCACATTCTCATACCCAATCTCCCAATCTATCAGCCTCATACAGACAAATATCACCAACTCCACCCCTCAATTATTACATGACCTCTCCACCATCCACAATGGCAACCACAACCACCATCTCCAACCCCACCCCAACAATGACCTACTACGACATCGCCATGCGGCCCCCAGTAACCCGGAACGCAGCAGCCGTAAATCCCTGGAAAGCGCGCCTGGCCTTGAACTTCAAAAACGCCCCCTACTCCACAACATGGGTCAAGCTCCCCGAAGTTTCCAAAGTCCGCCGCAGCCTGAACCTCCCCGCATGTCGCAAATTCGCCGACGGTAGCGACTTCTACACCCTCCCCATCCTCTCCGACCCTACCACAAATTCCCTCATCGGCGACTCCTTCGACATCGCCGTCTACCTACAAAAGACCTATCCCGCTTCTGGCGACGGGGATCTCTTCCCTCCGCAGAACCTGGACTATGAACTGAAAGAGGAGCTCAAGGTGCTGGTACCACTATCAGAGCGGAATGATACCGAGTATGCGGATTACGCGAGGTTTAACAATAATGTCGACGCGGCGTTTAGTGTGCACACGTTGTTGATGGTGCAGAAGATGCCGTTTGATCCGGAGACGGCGGAGGAGAGCAAGGCGGAATTTGTCCGGCGGGCGGGGTTCAAGTCGTGGGATGATTTTGCTCTTGACGGGGAGAAGAGAGAGCAGGTGTTGAGTTCTTTCCGGGGTATGCTGGGGGACCTGGCGAGGATGTTTGAGAGGGATACTAGTGGGCCGTTTCTGCTGGGCCAGAGGCCTAGTTATGCGGATTTTATTGTCGGTGGGTGGTTGAGGATGTCGAGGGTTACGTTGCCGTCGACGGAGTGGGAGCAGTTGAGGGGGTGGCATGGAGGTGTTTTTGGGAGGTTGCATGATGCGTTGGATGTTTATGCTGAGGTAAAATAGGCTAGCAGAGTTGGTGAGAGGGGGAACTTGATGGACAAGAATAGAAGAAGGAAGGAAAAGTATTGTATAATAAAGCATATAAAGCTATACATCAAATGCTTAATATAAGCAAGGTTTATGGCCCATTCCCCGAATATAAGGGTGACCACCACTCAAAAATATCGTCTCCAAAGAGGTCATTATCGAGTGATGAGAATATGTCTAATGGTGAAGCTTCTTCCTGGGATGACTGCCTGGGTAGCAACGTTTCCACACCTGGTATGCCCATTGAGCTCTGGAATTCAGATATTGAGGCCTGGGCATCTGTTGACTGGCCATATATTGCGAGTAAGCAAGATCTCATTCTTTTCACCCAGGCCAATGATTTCGAAACCACGTTTTCGTGGTCCGTAATGCCATCATCAACGTTGGTTTGTACATTGCTTAGATTTTCGGCAGTCTTGTCAAGAATAGACGTAATGTCTACAGTTCGTCGAACCATGTTCACGTCCCACGCCGGATCTTCGAAGGATGCGAGTCGAATGAGGGTCAAGATTACGGTTCGGAATTGCCTCCACAGAAAGAAGGGGAAGTATGTATACTCGGTTGGGTTGAAGTTGAACATGATGTCCACGGCGCGTTTCGCTGCATTGAGGCAATTAAGAAGGGCCTCCATGCTGCTGATATCATCTAGAAGAGGGCAATGCCCAAGGCGCGTAAAGATAAGGTCATTGATGCATATTTCTGTGTGCAGGGACATCGCTTCCAGCATCTCTATGGAGTATCAGTGAGGTCTGTTATGCACTCGAATCAGGAGTGGCAGATTAAACGTACTATTCGTGGTCAAGTGCGGGGGTAATTGCTTTCTCATCTCGGATAATTGAGTGTTGAGAGAAAATATGTATGGATAAATAAGACGCGTACTTTGTTCGCTGTCAGTATCTCTTAGTTGTATACGAACATCAGTGACCTTGCTCGTTATGCGCTGAAGCTTGATCATTTGCACCAGCAGTTCGTCTCCTCGAACACATCTAGAGCATTGTATCATTTTAAGACACTCTTCAAGAAATGGTGACCAGACCAAACTCTCCCCAACTGTTTGAAACGTTGCAACGCTGGGTTTGCTATTAGCGGTATTCTTAATAGTTCAATGAATTGCTAACCATGATGTGAGAAAGTGGCAAGCCAATGCCGTCCGTGCAATTACGATGCTCCTCGGCTGGAACCTGCCTGTAGCTCCCTGAATCTGAGATGCAAGCGGTCGAGGAAACATATGAATCAGATTACCCTCTCCACAATGCCGGCTTCGAAGTTCCAGATCGACCGTCAAAGCAGTGCACAGCTGAGACAAAATAGTAAGAAGTGATCCCATAGAGAAGCGAAAGTGTCCCCTATAGATCACGATAAGTCATCCGGTTACTGAAAGTGTGATAAGGAAAACTAACCAGCCGATGAAACACAGGAGACCGTGCAACAGATCCATCGTACATTTGCCTTCTACGATTACCTCACGAGCGGCAACCTCTCGAACCGTCTTTGCTAGACTGCTTTGTTCTTTTGCATCTGTAGATGTTACAGCCATTATACATAGCCAGAGGAATGGCGACTCTCGGTACAGCTTCTCTGAGGTCGACCCATTCTCAAGATATAGAAGAGGGAGAAATTCGGTATAGTGACTAAAGAATGCTTTGAAATGTTGTTTTGCATCGCCAGACGATGGATCGAGACCCTCGGAATGGCTGTGTGGGAATTGGCCCCAGCTTTGTGAGGTGTTAGCCGAATACTTGTTGCCTTGATCTGTAGCTACTTTATCAAGATCACCAACAAGCGGTTGTGCATTCGACCCACGATCTGCAGGCACTGAAGCGTGAGAGGGAGCTGATATAAAGGACCCTGATGACGAAGCAGTTTCTTCGGGTTCAAGGCTACCCTGGCGAGCTTTTAATAATGAAACGAGCCCGTCTAACTTCTGCTCCAGACGAGCAGCTTGAGAGCCGTTGGGTCTCGAGCCACTCCTGCGGACGGTAGGAGAAGGGTTGCATTCTACTTTGAGCCGAAAGCATCTGACCATGTTTATGAGCCAACGATCGCCAATGGTGTTTTCGAGAGGTGGATTACCTTTCACATCCATCTCCAATGGCTCGCAGCATGCATTTGCGTTTGACGCGAGCACAGTTGACGCATGCTCGGCCGTATGCGGCGGGCTTTCCATTATAACGTGCTGTCTTTTCCATCTGATTCAGCAAAGAAGTGTGAAGTATAATTGAGACACTGGATAGTCCATCAGGAGAAATTCAGGCGCCGCTGCACCGCGAATGTAGTGTTCCTGGAATTAGCTGCACCCTCCGGTGGACGGATTTCGGGGGGTTGAAAATTCGAAATCCGCACCCGCAACTAAAATAGCGGGATGCGAATCCCGCTCCGCCCCGCCTCCACTTTCTATACTTTTAAAAGCCCCCTAGAGTCCAAACCATGTGAAATCTGGTCATCAAAAAAGTCATTCTCTTACTTGTATATCAATAAAGATGGATTCAATGAGCAATGCTCTTTACTATGTGTTTCATCTATTTCATTTGACGAATGTCCTGCAATGGTGATCATCCCACACCCATTGTCCTACCATTGATAGCTGACGGAATGCATTTTCACATCATAGGATGACCCAACACAACCCAAATCATCGTTCCAATATCATAAGTGAAAGCGAATCTCGGCAGGTTTGTTTCAAATTTCTTGATCAAACCGGCCGGAGCTTCAGCGTTATCATTAAGGAGCTCCACTCCGAACTGCTCGTCCCGATTTGTATCTTCTACCTTGTCCTCCGCGGTCTCGACACCATAGAAGACGACCCTTCTATTCCTGTAAAGGCCAAGAAGGCCTTGCTTCGTGATTTCGAGAATATACTAATGAAAGACGGGTGGACATACGATGGCAACCGTCCCGAAGAGAAGGACCGCGAACTGCTTGTTCACTTCCATCACGTTATCAAAGAGTATAAAGCTTTGAAGCCAGCCTACAAACACATTATCAAGGAAACCACTAGAATAATGGGTAATGGAATGACCGACTTCTGCCACAAGGTTACCCTGGGCCATCCAGATAATGCCGGTGTCATGACTATAGCCGAGTATGAGCTGTACTGCTATTATGTTGCCGGCTGTGTCGGTGAGGGTCTTACCCGCTTCTTCATCGAAGCGCAACTTTGCAACTCGTTATTACTCGACAATCCAACTTTACCTCGGTCAATGAGTCTCTTTTTGCAGAAGACCAACATCATCCGCGACGTCAGTGAAGATCACGAAGACAATCGTCGGTTCTGGCCGCAGCAGATATGGTCTAAGTACGTCAGCAACTTTGCAGATTTGTTCAAGCCAGAGAATCGTGAGGCGGCCATAGAGTGCAGTTCTGAGATGATTCTCAACGCACTTGAGCATGTCAAGGAATGTCTCATTTATCTGGCTGGGTTGAATGAGCAGAGCATCTTCAATTTCTGCGCTGTGCCTCAGTGCATGGCTATTGCGACATTGGAACTATGCTTCCGCAATCCCGCTCTGTTTGAACGGAATGTCAACATCAAGATCAGCAGGAGTGATGCGTGTCAGTTGATGCTCGAGTGCACACAAGGTTTGCCGGGACTGTGTCGTATCGTCAGTCGATATGCACGACGTATCAAATCCAAAAATTCCCCAAATGCCACCAAGCTCTTCGAGATTAACAAGATTTGCGGCACGGTATGTTATCCCACCTACCATTTGTAGTGAACGAACATTAACAACTACAGATCGAAGAAGCTGCCAAAACTCTGATTCAAACTCAAGAAGGACAAAACCATGAGTGCATTGTCGCTGAGATGGGGCACGCTATTGATGAATGGCAAGACAAATAACTGTAAGTGTATTCAAGAAGCGCACATTGGTAACATGCATGTAGCAGTTATTACATCAGGAAGGCATTATGGAGACCTTAGCCCGGAAGACTCGTTTACAAGTTTACTACAAAATCCCAGAACAAAACGTGAAGATATTGTCCGGATCACCGATTTTGACCACCATCTGAAAGTCTTTAATCAATTTTGGGGGATGCACCAGTCCCAACTATACAAACGCGACCAGCAATGCTTCCACACTGACAATTTCAGCCTCGCTGTAGGTGTCAGCATCCCGACAAACATCAACCACTTGGACCCCCTTTTCCGCTGCAAGCGCAGGCGTCATTCTTGTGCGGGGTAAAACAAAAGAGATAAGAAGGCGATGATGGTCTGCTTTTGCTCCATACTGGAGCATATTACCATATTGCTCATTTTGGTTGTAAATAGCCACCCTCCGCCTTGAACAGGCTGTCAGTCAAACTATCCATTGCGGTGTTTGTTGGGGACCCGTTGGATTATACCAAGAAGCGACACACCGCTACACACGTGGCATTCGCGGACGGTGACCAGAGTCTGCTGCATATCGTTGGAGCACATGGGTTCTTTGAGTTCGAAGACAGTGTCGGGAAGGATCCTCAGGCCAGTGACTCGCAACCCTAATCGAGGTCCCCACAATCTCGAAGTCGCTCTCGAAATAGGATATTAAGCTTGCCTGCGAGCAAACGCGAATCGAGAATAGCCCTGGAAATCTTGACTGGAATTGTCAAAATTGGGCCGGAGATGCCCTTGGAAGTCTGGTTCAAGTTGGCCTTTTAACCGTCCAAGCGCGTGATCATGCCATTGACCAGATGGCAGAAGCGTGCGTCGAGGCAACTGATGGGTAGTTCGCCTGTAGGTTGTATCATTTGCTCTGAGCTCGGCTTATGCCGAAGAAAATTCAGATCTGAACGTCTTATTGGAATAGGTAGAATGACTCACTATCACCATCACCATTATAAAGAGAACGAACGATCTACTGTTGCCATCCCGCTTCATTACAGCGGAAACTTCAAAGTTGTCTGGCGTAAAGACAAGTGCAAATTTCTCTTTTGATACCCCCTCTGCTCGTTAGCTGTCTTCAACCAGTTAAATTTCAACGTCTGGATTTGTACTAAATGTTCAAAGTAGCTCGAGAAAGCTCAATTGTGCCCCATCAATGAAATAACGCCGTTGATGTATACTTCCATAATTTACATCCCTTATAGGAATTCGACCCTATTGACCGTCCTCCATGTTACGCTCGTTGTCCCTGTCAGAATTTGAGATAACTTTTCCCTGGCTCTAACTTTTGGTGAAAGAGCAGCGGTTGAACTCATTGTTTCCATATCCCCTAAGTCCTTTCAATCAACCTTATGTGTTCCGCCACTGTGATTGCGTCTCTCTACCCTCATGTTTGAAATCACTCTGAATGTGGCCATGCAGTCGCCGGCAATCAGTCCCATTTTTGTACCTTGTGCTACATATACTAGGCGTGTACGGTCATGTCAACCAGTGTCGCCCAAGCGATAGAAAACATTTGTATAGAATCTATTTTACAACCCTCTTATGTCTGAGACTCTATCGTGCTTGACACTAATATATATGTAACTTTTCCTCCCAGACGATTTCACTCTATGGGCGATTCAAATCGCGATATGTCACGGAGATCATCAGATATCCTATTGTTTCCACTAATTTAACTGCTTCCCGCAAGCGATATCCATTTCCGCCAACAGTCGCAGTGATCATTTCCCCATTCCACGGGTGTTCCTGCCCTGCACGCGGACTTTTCAGGAAGAGAAGATGTTATCCCACCTAAATTATGAAACATCCACAAAGGTTGACAAAGAGAAACCCTTCATGACCCACTTCACCCGAGCTCGGCCTGCCGAACCATACCATCCGGTATCCCAAACCATTTCTTCATCTGCCATAAACTTTCTCCACCGGATCATCCATGGTGGGGATATTAGGCTCCCGACCAACCTTGAGTCAAGACTAAGCGAACCACCAAACACAAACCAGATTTTGGTTCGCCTGCTTCACCGTGATGTAATTCACCTATTTTCTGGTGGCACAGATGCAGTCTACACATGGAATGTAAGGTGTCTACACTGTGTCCGGATCACTTCCGCATCAACAGTACCAGTACCAATACCATCCCTTGAATAGCCTCATACGACAGTTATCTACCTATTCCAAATTTTTCATGATTACCTAGAACCGCCAAGGATCGATCCACAGCTATCCGCCTCATCCAGTGGATTCCCCCTCACGTGTCACACATCCTCACTTCTCTTTGGCACCCAAAGCCCATCTCAATCACCAAACCACCCTAATTGTAGCATACAATCTATACATTCACCAACATGGATCCCTCCCCCCTCTCCAACCGAGCCCGCACAGTCGTCTCCTCATCCAACAACCTGATGTGGGACATCTTCAAGAACCCATGGTGTCCTACAACCAAACCCGACGGCTACGTGAACGTAGGGGTTGCCGAAAACGCACTGATGCATGACTACCTGCTGGAATACATCAACACCACGAAGCTCACCCTCCCTGCCAAATACCTCACCTACAACGACGGTGCCATTGGCGCAGAGCGCCTCCGACGTGCCATGGTATCATTCCTCAACAAACACCTTCAACCATTCCAACCACTGACCATCAACGACCTCCTCGTCACAAACGGTGTCTCCTCCGCCATTGAGCACATCTCATGAGCCTTCACCGACCCCGGCGAAGGTATCCTCCTGGGCAGACCCTACTACGGCACCTTCATCCCAGACATGTCCCTCCGCCCTGGGGCGACAGTTGTCCCTGTAGAATTCGACGACTGCGATCCATTTAGTTTCCAGGCTGTGGAATGCTACGAGCGTGCACTGCTCGCGTTCCAGCAGAACACCAGCCGGAAAGTTCGCGCCTTGATGCTCTGTCATCCGCATAACCCGCTGGGCCGGTGCTATCCCCAGGAAACTATAATTAAGCTGATGCGGCTGTGTCAGAAATATCAGATTCATTTGATCAGCGATGAGATATATGCGCTGTCTGTGTGGGAGAATACCGTTGACGAGCATATTCCCGTGCCGTTCGAGTCCGCCTTGTCCATCGACACAACTGGTATAATTGACCCTAGTCTAGTCCATGCGCTATGGGGAATGAGTAAGGACTTTGGCGCCAATGGTATTCGACTCGGGGTGATCATCTCTCAGAATAACCCGACTTTGCACAAGGCGTTGCAGGGTGTTTCGCTGTATAGTTATTCCTCGTCTGTTTCAGAATTTGTCGCAGCTACGGTCCTTGAAGATACGGACTTTACCACGAGGTATATCCAGCTCAATCGGCAGAGAATGTCTGAGTCATATGCGTTTGCTGCTCAGCGGCTAAGGGAAAATGGGATTGACTATGCTCCGGGGGTAAATGCCGCGTTCTTCCTCTGGGTTAATCTGGGTAAAAGGTATCGCGAATTACATCCCGAGCAGACTACAGGTTTGGGTGACGGGATCAGCGATAAGGTGATGCAGCTCCTGCTGCAGAGGAAGGTCTTTCTGGCTAGTGGAGTGTTGTTTGGATCTGAGCATAGTGGGTGGTTCAGGATTGTGTTTACGCATCCAAGGGAGTATCTTGAGGAGGCGTTGCGGAGGATAGTGTTGGCGTTGGGCGATTTGTGATGTGGTCAGAGCATAATATAGCATATTGATACACATCGATTATGAATAACATCTAACTACTTCCCTGCCATAAGGTTCAACGCACTCCCACTTCTAAAATACCCAATCTGCTCTTCCGTAAAACTATGTCTGAGCGCAGCCTCCCACTCGCCTCCATTGATTACCAACCTCAAAGTGCTCCCCGGAACAAACTCCCCTTCTCCCAGCCCCTTAATACTAATCCGATCCTCGGCCCTGATCTTATCATAATCCTGCTCATTCTCGAATGTCAATGCAAACAACCCTTGCTTCTCCAGATTCGCCTCAAGGATTCTCGCACAAGACTTTGCGATGATCGCCACACCACCTAGATATCTCGGCTGCAGCGCCGCATGCTCCCGCGAACTGCCCTCGCCGTAGTTATGGTCTGCGATGACCACCCACGGCACGGCGTTTTCTTTGTAGTGACGTGCTGTAGCGGGCACTTCCTGTCCGTCTTGCTTCGTGAGCTGGTTCCGAATACTGTTCACCTTGCCGTTTTCGGCGTTGGTTGCCCCAATTAGCGTGTTGTTGGAGATGTTTTCGAGGTGTCCACGGTAGCGGAACCATGGACCGGCCGGGGTGATGTGGTCTGTTGTGCATTTTCCGGCTGTCTTGATCAGGATGGCGCAGTTCTCGAAGTCGTGTCCGGGCCAGGGTGGGAATGGTAAGAGATTTTGGAGGCGAATCGATGAGGGGTCGACTTTGACGGAGATGTTGTCTCGGTTTGCGGGTGGGGGTGCGTAGGCTGACTCGGAGGAGAGGTAGCCCTTTGAGGGGAGGGAGTCGCTGGTTGGGGGGAGGAAGTGGAATCGTTCGCCGGATGGTGTAGGGAGCATGTCGGTGGTTGGGTCAAAGGATAGGTCGCGGGAGAAGGCCTTTGCAATGACGAGCTCGGGGGATGCTAGGAAGACGTTGGTTGCTTGGTTGGAGTCCAAACGACCGGAGACGTTCCAGTTGTAAGAGGTTATGATGGAGTTGGGGGTGCCCTAGTTATACCGTTAGAAATAATGTCGTGTGGGAAGTGGAATGGCAATACTATACCTTTGGCATGTCAACTCTATCCCAAGTCCCACAGCATGGTCCACAGGCATTGGGAAGCATCGTCGCACCGAGTCTCTCAAAGACTGGCAAGATGCCAGCATCTTTCAATGTCTCGCGCGTCTGAACGCTACCCGGGGATACCAGAAGCGGCATCTTCGGTTCCAACCCTGCATCCAATGCCTGCTGAGCGAGACTAGCTGCACGTCCCATATCTTGCAAACGGACATCCCGGCTCCGCTTACCATGAAGGATAGACGACGGCCCCAGTTGTCGATAGTCCAAAATGTAATTAGGCAGCAGAGAGTTTTCCATGATAGTACGCAGGACGTTAGGACTTTAGACATGGTGGGCGTCATGTGTAGGTAGTTTTCGAAGATGGTGGAACTGTAAACGGATATGAGATTGCCTCCGCAGGCCTGATAAATTAGCGATGGAGACATAAACAAATTGAAGTCTTGCAAGGGGTCGCCAACTCACCTGTTGGAAGACGTTTAGCCCCATGCAGAGCCAAAAACGCACCAAGAGACGCGTCTTGTCCTTGCGATCGAAGATATCCAGGATGGACATGGTACCACTCCCCTCCAAAGCAAGCTGAATATGGGCGTATCTTGCCCATAATTATCTCATCATGCGCATCCCTCCCTCGATAGCGGCAGAGACTAGATGTGGCTTCTTCGACCTGGCCTCTAGATACCAGCCAACGAGGTGACTCCGGGAATGTGAAAGCAGAAACCAGTATCATTGCCGAGAAGAGGAAGGGAATGGTGAGCGGAGCTCTCCATTGTCCAGTGGAAGGGGGTAGATAACTGAATCCCAAATCAATCCAGTTACATAATGTGTATCCCGTGCTGATGAAGATACCCGTACAGATTCCCAGTTGTCCGCGGTACTTCGGCGAGGCACATTACGAGAGCCATACAGGCACCGTGCCGCTGATTTGGCCAATAGCGAACCCTAGGATAACTCGTCCAACGACCAACTGGATCAATGTGGTTGCGGAGACCTGCAGAGCCTGGCCGACGACAGTGATCACAGCTCCGATGAAAACTGTCTTTCGACGTCCGAGTTTGTCGAGTTATGGGACTTTTGTGCTCCCGAGGTGTTTATAGTGTCTATGGCTGGGAACACTGACACCCAACTTTGGAGGCTGAGTAGACTGCCCAAGACCGCTTGGTTGTACCCGAAGAGAATGAACGAAGGAGCAACAATAAGAAGTACCAGAGCGACTTGTAGCTGGGTGCCAACCACAGGGAGAGTAAGGCCTGCCATTTTCACGTTGCTTTCTTGTGTGCCCTCTGCTTCATTGAATTACTCGGCGGCTTAAGTACTTTACGTCTGATTTTCCGTGGGGAAGAGCGTCTGGAGTCAAAAGAAGAAAAAGCGGGGGGAAGATACCTCGTGACATGATCGATTCAAGTCATTGTATTTACCCTTGTTTGATTGGAGAATTTCTATTTCTGTATGGCGTTGCCTTTCCTGTCCCTCGTCTCGATCGCCTAATAATCAGGTGTGGGTTTGGCACCCCAGGTGGGTATGAGTACCTCCGCACCCATTTCCCATCGGATGCTCCGACAGTCTTTACTAAACGACTCACCGGTGGCGAATGGGCCAATAAGATACTGTGATTTATATGGAGTGATATGCAGATCACTGTCTAATTCACAGTCGTCTCATGATCATGCCTAGTGAAGTTTTGGAGCAGGCAGACGCAAGATACTTTGAATATGTGTAGATCGTGATATCGAAGGACAGTGCCAGCCAAAAGTTGCATTACTTATATCTTAGATTCTTCGATCCTGAAAAAGAGAACCCCTTGGGGAGGAGACGAAGTCACATAAACAGCAGAGGTGGAGTACTGGATGGGTGCCTGGCTACTGTCAAATAGCCCGACAAGTTAGGTTTGTATCATACTAATATTACATTTATAGCAAAGTACCATTACAATCGTTACTGGCGACCGACCCCGCTTAACAATGAGAGAATACTCCAAGCACGTTACATTGAATTTCTGGTTTCGAAATTATTTAACTCTTCCAATAAATCTGGCCCTCAAAGAGCCGACGCGCAGTACGGAATACAGTTGCCGCCGTAAGCTGATCCTCCTCGAACTTGGCCCCAACAAGCAAATTTCCACTTGCATGACCAATTGTAAGACCAGCATCATTGACGCGATCTTTGTTGGTTGCATCCTCAACAGTACTACCTACCACACGAGCAGCTGCAGAAACAGCCAACGCGACAGTGATAGGAACTGCCTTGTGCGGCTGTCCCACAGAAATGGCCCGCACAAGCAGGTCGACAGAGCCCTTCCCTTTAGACTCCTGAGGTGGCGACACCATGCAAACCTTGGGAATACTTCCTGGAACAGCATCGGCAGTCGGTGCTATACCCATCTTGACCCCCGCCTGGCGCCGGATAGACTCCAGCCTTTGCAGAAGGTCGGGATGAGCGGCAATCTCGTCTGGAGTCGAGTCACCGCGGACGCCTAACCTGCTAGCTGGAACAAAAACGCATGGATTGGCCACGTCAATACATGTGGCTGGAACACCGTCGAACTCGTCCCTTGTCTGCCCTGTTGGCAGCATCTTCCCGGTCACCGAGCCAGCCGGATTGACAAAATCTAATTGAATCCGAGCAGCTGTGCCGGCAACGCCATCAATAGCAAATTCGCCGCTAGAGGCAGCCTCGCCGTCCACCACGGGAAAGGAGGCAGTGATTATTTTCCCTGTGTTGGTGTTGTGGATGTGTACAGTAGCCGACTCGGGCGTTTGGGGAGAAACAAGCTTTTGGTCAAGGGCAAAGGGACCAATGGCACTGATCATATTGCCACAATTGCTGGAGTAATCAACATCGGAATTTTTGACCCCCAACGACACAAAAGTGTAATCAACGTCGGCATCGGGGTGGGTGGATTTCCCCACCACGCATACCTTGGAGAGGCTGGAGATACCCCCTCCCAGGCCATCAAGCTGCCGTCCGTATGGATCAGGGCTGCCAATGACGGAGCGAAAGATGGCGTCCCACTCCGGGCGAAGAGGGAGATGGGCCTGATTGAACATGACGGCGCGTGAGGTGCCTCCGCGGTAATAGGCCGCAGGAAGGGAGTGTTGCTTCGACAAATAGCGCCGAGCGCTAAAAGCGACCCGATTTCGATATGTATATTTGAACATGATAGTGGTTTGATGGCTAGGAAAAACGTTTGTGCAAATGATTGGGTGGTTTTAATGTTGTCTCCAGGACAGGGATTAAAGTTGCCACCGGATTTATCCGATACAAATTAACCGGTTACAGCCGCGCTCATCGGCTCATCCGATCGCGAATCGCTTCATGGGTGTCTCCAATCCACCCCTCACCAAGAGACACAGGTATAATGAGTGCCTGGGATGAGAAATACGTTTAGGTAGACCGTTTGAATGCCGGATGCACATTACAGAAACAGCTAGCTTGACTAGCATCGGCAAAATTCCATCTGCGGCGTCGGGCCCAAGCCGTTGACCCGAGGTATTTAGACCGCGACAGATCGTATTGGGCCTGGAGCAGAAAACTGCCATGATTAGATGTTGCCGCACGATTTATCATGGTTGTGGATCTGAGACCTCTTTCCAATTCAGTCCGGTTGATATAGAAGCCGACGGGCAAGTGGCGAATGGAAACCACCCCCAGCGCCACCTTGATACATCTCAATTAGCTCGACATCACTCCCCACTCTCCGTAGTAACATTAGAACAGAACGCTCCAAACATCTGCCGTGCTCATGTCTATTCCCTCCATGAATAGGTCAGCCCATGGGAGGTCCATTTGAACGTCAGGAAGACGTGACGGTGAGTCATAAGCATACGCATCTGAGGCTAGGTTGCTAGCCTTGGAGGGAAACGTGTGTGCTCTAAGACCAAACCAGGTTTGGAACTCGGTATCAATACTCAAGTCTGCCTGATCTTCATGTTCGAATAAGGACATAATCGACTGGCCAAGCCGCTCAACAATCCTGCAACACTTCTCTCCGACCGCACGTCTATCGCAAATGCCCCGCAGGAGTGTAAGAAATGTAGATATATTCATTTGAATCACCGGCTTGGTCAATTCTTGCCGCAAGGGTGCAAACGCTCGCAGAGAATACAGCATTGTCACGGCTGCCAAGAACAACGAGTGAATTGCGATGAACGTATATTTAATGCGGTTTCGCGCGTACAGTGCGCTGTTTGAGCTTATCAGACCAATGGCAGACTCGGTGCAGGTCCGCAGATCATCTGGTAATGGCATTGGGACCGCACGTGAGGGACGGTAAAGTGAAAGAGCGGCGTGATGGAAAGCAATCTGGAACCGCTCAGTGGACTGGAAAGTAGACAAAGTCTGCATATAGCGCGGCGCTGTTATTATCCACTGATTCAGCTCCAGAAAATATCCACTGCGAAGCCGATCCAGGTCAGCAGGATCAGTTGGGACAGAGCCGATGGAATGAAATGTCTTGTAAACACCGGCGTTGATTCGACGGAGCTTAATAATGTGGACAAATGTTGATGTGTCAGCCACATGCAGTATCACTGACTCCTCGACATTGAGGCTCTGGATAGATTCAATGAGCTGGGCATCCGTCAGCTGTATAGGCAAAGGCATGCTGATATCTGACTCTTGGATTTCCAAGGGTCGGCCCATGTTGATAGCCACACTGCAATTAATCACGTACGCATACCAGAATACACGCTTAGATATCTCTGCATCCATGATGTCTTTCCCAGAAATGCATTCCTTGCGGTGAAGGTCAAGGCCGATGGCTAAATTAAGGGCCATAGCGGTTGTGAACCACATATTGACTGACTGAGGTTCATTATGGCCATACATGCACAGTAGAAGAAGACACTGAATACATTTAATATTCTCGCCGCTCAAAACCAGGTCCAGGTCTTTTATGGCTTCTCTGAAGAATACCCGATGGGTCTTGTCGCGAGTTTGGGGTAATGACTTCTCTGTTGACGCAATGGCTCAGATGATGTTAACCATGAAACTGGTCAATGGCCTCATCTCAGATTCGTGAGAAAGGGTATCAAGCGTTGGTTGACGAACGTATGCCGATGTAATACTGGTAAATATGGCCATCGCCTATCGAAAAACGCGCCAGCCAGATCAATGTATGTGTTATTGTCGAGACTTAAACTATCTGTTTCAGAAACTTTGATATCTGTGATATTACTCCATAGCTCCCAAGCGCTGCTCATAGCACTGCGGTTCTCTCTTCTGGAGCTAAATTGCAGTGAGAAGGTTGGTCTCAGTATCCGACTAAGGAAGTGATAATCTGGATACTCTCTCAGTTGGTCAGACTGAGATATAGCCTCGGCAGAATTATGCCCAGGTAACGGAGGATTGGGACTTGCAATTCCAGAGTCGTTAGATCGAACAGAACTGAGAGCCTCGAGCAAACGGGCCTCTAGCTGCTGACACCTTTCAGACAGCTCATTACTTCGTCGCTCAGCAGCAGCAAGTTGGGCCCGTAGGGCATCACAATCACAGTTCAGAGATGGGTGCTGGATCACTAATCTATCCGACATGACGCATGTTGTTTCAGCAGCAGCGCATGAACCGCAAGTTGGCATTTTTCCATCATACTGACTGCTTTAGTGAGTGATAATTTGACTTTATGGTGGGTCACTGACCTTTTGCTTGCGTCGTCGACACCGTTGGCATGCTGCCACACTACGAGGTAAACCTCGACGACGACGATGAGGGGTTGAGCCCGATGGACTTTCACCCATCGAAGCCATAGCTTCTATGGCACTTCAGCGTACAGTAGTGTAGCTGTTGAGGATACAATGAGGCTCATGCGCAGGATGGAAATTGCAGTTCGTCTCTGTTTCTAGAACGAAGAGCCTCGGGCTTGGCATCTTATTACTAAGCCGTCTATTCATAGTTACTCTGCGAAAAAGGCCTTCGTTTACTGATGTTCGTGTTGAGTGGCGGCACTCATAGGATAGCTAAATTCTCACAGAAACTCATGTGCAGCCTGAGTTTGATGGTCTCTGCTCAGTGACGCGCTTGTGTAACAAAAGTAAATGCTCAATCAATATACAGTCGGCCCGGGTTATCCACCATCATCTTCCAGTAGGCATCATCTCCCATCCAGTCATGCAATCTTTGGAGAATTGCATGGTTGTCGATCATCCTAAATGGTTCTTTGCTTTCTATTGACCTTTTTATCCGGTTGTGTCCATCGCCCGTGTGTGGCCAATCGCTTCCCCAAATAACCCGATCAGGAATCTCTCTCGCCATTGCCTGAATGATAGGCTGCAGGTCATCAAAGGTCGAGGCTGAGTAATCTGACATACGATATAAATCGGAAACCTTTACGTAGACAGTCGATTGCTTTGCTAATGACAAGAGGGAGCGAAATCCCGGTTGGGACGTTGGCGTCGATTGTAACTCCGAAGGTAGCTTGGATGTGCCACGCAAGCCACCTAGATGGTCTGCAACCACCCTTACGGGGAGCTCACGAACAGCATCATGCAGAACTGTAGCATATCAGTCACTTTAGGTGTTATACAATGTCATTAGTAGATAAGTACTCACGGTCCCATGTCCATCCTGGAACGAACAACTGGATCGCCCAGCTGGGAAGATAGCGTGTGCGTTCTGCAGTACGGTTCAAAATGCTTATCAAATGTGTAATGTCGACATCTTTCCCATCGACTTGGAAGTTGAGTCGAGTACCTCGTACTCTAGGGGCGTGCAATTCGTTCAGTTGCGCATCGGTAATAGTGTCGAGATCTAACACTGCAATTCCAAACGATCTGATGCCTCTGTCCCTCAATTCTCGCAGGCAATGCATCATAACCGTGCAGTCGCTCTTGTAAGGCGATGGCTGAACCAAGACAAGAGCAGTATTGTTGTAATCCCTTGCTAGGCTCTGATTCAACGCCAGTAACTTTTTCAGCGGTGCATCCTCGGGGGTATATGCTCTCCCTGCAGCATATGGGCCTAGCTTGGGATCGAATACATGGACATGTGTATCGAATGACTCCGTTGAGAGAAGGAATCTAGATGGATTAGCTTCAACAGCTGTATTTTCTGGATGTACCTACGGTGTATTGGAGCGCCTTTCGTGGGTGGCTAGAGCTTGTGACAGCATTGTGTAGGTAGCCCGTTGGTAAACCATGAATTGCGGTAGAACCCCACGCAGAAGATTGAGCTTTGATATTAACATCGCAAGTTCCTGTCCCTCAACGCTGCACTTCCTACGCATCCCCTTCCTTGGCATCAATGGTATGCGGTTGATCCCGGCGGCACCCCTCTTCGGGAAAGCCGATACATCCCGAGGTTCGCATCGGATGCATCCGACAAGCATCACGATGGTCGGTCAATCATTAGAGCTTTGATTCCAGCGATTGATTCGACAAAATGTTCTCTTCATTGGAGGAATAACGTTTGAAACATGGCACAAGCAGTAGCTATGAATACCCCGACTTTGCAAGGCAATGCCGAGCAGAAGCGCCCCATTCCCTATCGGAAGTTGGCCGTCGGCGCGTTAATGAACATCTCTCAAGGTAATGAGAAACTCTACTTGCCAAGAACCTTTCTAACTTTACACAGTTACGTCTCTTAGACAGCCGCTAGAAGTAATCAAAACCCATGTATGCTTGACTCTCACCCATCTTAATTGTGAGTTAATCCTGACGACTTACCCTTCCAGTTGGCAGCAAACCGGCAAGATACGTTGCGGGATGCATTCCAGAAGACTTGGTCCCGCGGGAGATTTCTTGCTTTTTATCAAGGGCTGATACCTTGGGTACGTATCTCTTTCATCTAGCCCCCTCGTCTAGGCACATTTCATACTAATTACCACAGGCTTGGCTAGAAGCCTCCACCAAAGGCGCCATTCTGATAGTAACATCAAGTGAGATTGAGTATCATGCCAGATCAAAGTTCAATGCATCACCTACGGTCTGTGGTGCTCTGGGTGGTATTGGCGGTGGCGTTGCGCAATCGTATCTCACGATGGGCAGACGACATGCATGAAAACAGTTGAAGTGACCCGCTCAAAGATGAGTGTTGGAGGTGCCCGAGTACCCGGGGCTCTAGAAATGTTTTTCCAAATTATTCGCGAGAAAGGGACTCGCGGAGTGAACAAAGGCGTTAACGCCGTCGCGCTACGACAGGTTACAGGTTGGTCTTCTCGGGTTGGTATAACGCATTTTGCGGAAGAAAGCATCCGAAAGGTCAACGGAAAGCCGAAGGACGAAAAACTCGAGTTCGGAGAGAAAATCCTGGCATCCACTATTGGTGGTGCACTGAGCTGCTGGAACCAGCCATTCGAAGTAGGTGTCGCTGAGATGTGTGAAATAAGGACTTCCGATTGCTGACTCTACAGGTGTTGCGCGTGGAAATGCATTTATGAAGAATGATCCCGCCCGGCCAGCTTCTCCGGCGATCGTGTCCACGTTTAAGTATATCTTTTCGACGACCGGAGTCAAGGGTCTGTTTCGCAGTGTGGTTCCCCGCATTGGGGTTGCGGCGTGGGCTACGATCTGTATGGTAGGGTTTGGTGATACGGTTAAAGAGATTGTTAATCGCAAATGATCCATAACACGGTTCAGATAGAAAGGTGATAGGTCCTGTATGCATAGAGCTTGCAATTCTTATTCTTATAATAGCCACATTGGTGGAAAAATAACAAAATGCCAAAGATATCCGAATTAGCTAAATGAAAATATACAATGGCTTTAGCCGGCTATGGTCATCACCTTAACACCATTACTACTATCTTTCCATATGATCTGGTTCAATCCTTCCATATATCAAGTAAATACATCGTCACCGTGCTTACATACCTCAGATCCATACCGACCATATCTCGAAGGCCAAGAGAACCACCCAATGGGATGCACTTTTATTATCTTCCCTTCCCGAGGGCGTTCTTTAGGTAATGGAGTTATTAATTGATTGCATGATTGCCTGGACTATCAGCAAGAACACTGCGAACGATAATTCCTCTCTAGGGGTGTCGTAAGGCTGATGCAAGGAACAGTGGATATGGCGAGATAAGGATACTCGCGGAACCCAAGCAAATACCAAGCTTTCCCCTCCCTCTTCTTTATGCGAAGCATATTAATTCTCCACCGGTGAGGCGTAGTGCGTTCATGTCGAGTTTATAATATTGACTCATTAGTGTGGTGCTATCTATGTGTAAGGTGACGATGGTACTGGCTCTGTCACTGTCTCTGTAGGTAGTGCACTAATCGATAGCCTAGCTGGATAGTCATGAGTATGAAGGGGAGTCAATGAGATTTCTTCTTTGAGAGACGGTGGGGGATCAATATAATACTGACAACAGGATCATGTGATCCACACAAACAGCAGGTAAGATGCCTAGACACTTCGACTCTCACTCTTCCAACATACCTTGAAAAATTATTCGTCTGCAGGGGCGTCACTCCAGACTCTTTCTTGGAGTAAACGCATCGAAGCTAATTTTCCAAAGACCAACGCGCATAAGCAGGCAACTCGATTTCCAAATATGCACGGAGTGATTTTATACAGGTCAATTCTGACCACCGAATCTGCGAGCACATCCAAGGAAACAAGCAATATCACGGAAGTTACACCCCACGAGTCCCACTCGACTAGCTGATACAGCGCCACTCGGTGTTGTGTGCTACGCTACATGCATGAAAGAGGGGTTTGAGGGAACGACGCTGATTAGAGGTCAACAGCCCAAGATGGGCCAGCCACACATCACACTAGAAAGCTTGTCTACGATCATCCGATGGTGAGTTGCTGATGGCATCTTGCAATGTTATGGCAATGCTGTGACTTATCAATGGTCATGTACCGCCCAGTCGGGCAATCATATTCATTGCTGACGCTTCGCCACTGAGACGTCAAATTGGGCCTTTTTGGGTCCCAAACATTTTTCTGTTACTAGAAGTCATCAATGATCAGGTGCTAATGTGCCACCCCATGGTAGGCCGCACCCAGACACACAAAGTAGATCCTATCAGCCGGTGCACAAATCACGCAGGCCGTGGGGAACCGAAGATTGCACTGGGTGCTTATCTCCACGGGCGCGTGCCTCATTCGGTGTGGTGCATTGGATAATTGGTTGGTCCAATGCACTCCCAGGCTCCCGAGCTCCTGAGTCTAGAAGCCATGGCGATATCTGCCCATGATGATTTGGTCTCGATGTTGTGACATCCTGTTTCCAGGCCTGTTACCGACCTCCTCGAGCGCTTAGTCCATGACTTTTTTTCCAAAAAAATAAATGCGTTGTACACAGGGGTGCTGTGCTCGCCCGAGTCAATGCTTCGGAGATGCGTTGGAGCTCCGGCGCAAGGTGGACTTCTTGTGCCACCTCCTCATCGGCCTGATAAAGGCGAAGTCTAGAACAACCACTTACGAGTCGCCAATTTCGAACAGCGCGAGCATTCAGTGCCGCTGTGTATCACAATTTAATTACCATCGCGATAAGATACCCGTTAGTGGTGTGCGCCTTCCCAAACTGATTGGTGGTTTCTCAAAACAGTGCGCGGCCGTGCCATGGGGGCTTTTCATGAACTTATCCCCCCGCAGATAGTTATCACACTCGCTTTGGGAATACTGTTCGGCCACGTGTGACACCGCCAATAAGATTTTCCCCATATCTCATCCATTTCCCTAATGTATCGCAATGGGTCAATTTTGCCAACTATTGAAAGACAAATAGCGAGAAACCAATTGCGTTTTGAAATCGGTGACCTAGCATCTGTGTATGCCTCATTCAATCCTGCCACACCGCCGCGACTACCCATAATACAATCGTAGCGCACCTGGAGACCGGATTCCCGGCACATCGTTCGCAATGTCCTTCGATAATGGCGAACTAGGGGCATCATAACATTAGCCATTACATAGCGGCTCACGCGATTGGACATTGCGAGAAGAGCCGAGCATTTCATTCATCACCGGCGAAGCGGGGAACTGCACTTGGCCGTCGCATATGGTGTAGTCCAACCAGTACTTCCACTAGCGAAATGAACAGAATCCGCTCTCATTGGAACCAGTGGATAGCAAATTGTTATCATTCTCTTTTGAGCACACAGGCCCTTATCCGGTAATCCGGTTCCTGGCCGTCTTACCTCTTGATAACGTAGTGGATGGGTGCTCGAAATGGCGCTTAGCCCAGCGGACGATATATAAGGCCACATCAGGTCACAGATTCATTGCAACGGTTCTTTTCAAACAATGCGATCGTCTTGTTCTTGACCCAATACTGGCATGGCGGACGAGGTAACCGACAGTCCCGTCTCCACCCCCGCGGTAGATGTGAATGAAAAGAAAGATGACTTTATAGTCAAGGAGTCTGTGGATATCCATGACGTGGAAGTCGCCCCGGGCTTCGTCGCTGAGGCGGACTTCAAGGGAAATATCAAAGATGTTCCCATCGGGGAGGGTATTATCCCCGAGGATAGCGACGAGTTCATCGATCCCCGCCTGAAGGACTATCCCATGCCTTTGGTAGCTAAGACGGTAGATCTTCGCAATGACCCGACGTGAGCTTCTCGTTTCAATTTCAGAGTTGATCGCATCGCTGATATTAAAGCTATGCAGTGAACCGATCCTAACCTTCCGATTCTGGGTTCTGTCTAGCTTCTGGGTCCTTGTCGGCTGCGCACTTTCCACCTTTTACTACTTCAAGCCGTACTACAACACAATTACCAGTTATGCCGTCCAGTTGTTATCCTGGGGGATGGGTGATGCCATGGCTCGGTATTTACCCACGAGGCAATTTAGTCTCTTTGGATGGAAATGGTCGATGAATCCAGGTCCTTGGAACGCTAAGGAGCATGCACTTATTGTTGTGGCCTACTGGGGTAGTGTGAGTAAATTCTCCTTCATGGTGATAGTGACCTTGTCAAGCTGACAAGAAACAGTGCTACACGGCTATCGGAATGGGACCCTTATCTGCCATCGAACTCTACTACGGTAAAAAGCTCAACGCTGGTTGGTCCATGTTCTTCTTGTTGGCCTCTCAGATGATCGGATATGGCTTTGCGGGTCTCTTCCGTGATATCCTGGTCCGACCCCCGAAGATGTATTATCCCGGAGTGTTGCCCAACGTGGCACTGTTCAATGCGATGCATCGGAACCCATCCGTCACGAAGAAAGCTCTCAAGTACTTTGCCATCATCGCATCTGTTACCTTTGTGTATGAGTGGCTTCCAGAGCTCATCTTTCCTCTGCTGGGCTCTCTTCCTCTGGTTTGCTGGTTTGGCCATGGCAACTGGAAGGCCTTTGTCCTGGGCTCGGGTACCTACGGATTTGTCTGTTCCCATCCTCATACCTGCAAAGTCAAACCTAGCTGCTAACCTTTGAGCATAGGGTATTCTGGACTTGTCGCTTGATTGGAACTATATCACCTACATGTATCCATACTATACACCGCTCTGGTCTAGTATGAACCAATGCATCTTCGTCATTCTCTGTGTCTGGATAATCTATCCCGCCATCTACTTTACCAACACCATGAACGCACAGAACTTTGCACCAATGGATACAGGCACCTACACTGCCAATGGCAGCACTTACGATGTTGCGGCCATCGTTGGCTCCAACCTTGAGGTTAATCTTACTGCGCTGGCTGAGTACGGGTCGCCTTACTGGGCCCCATCATATGTGTTTTACTGGTTCTGGACCTTCGCCGCCCTTACAGCCTCTATGACCTACGCAATCCTGTGGTACGGCAAATCAGGCTGGGAGGATTTCAAGAACGCATGGAACAATAAGCGCAGCGACTATGATGATCCCTACCTCAAGCTCATGTCCTTCCAAAAGCGGGTACCCCACTGGTGGTATCTTAGTCTGCTTGGAATATGTGCAGTGATCGCTATTGCTCAGGGCTACGAAGGAAACATGAAGCTGTCCGCGTGGGGCCTCATTGTCATCTGTCTATTTTCGTTTATTTTCACCTGGCCCAACGGCATTCTGTGGGCAGTGGCCAATACACAGGTCGGAATGGGCTCGTTCAGTGATTTACTGGCGGGTGCCATGTTCCCCGGGAAGCCGACTGCCGTGCTTTCTGCCTACACCTACGGCTACTGTGTTTTGGAGCAAAACCTCAACCTCATTTCTGACTATAAGTTCGGGTTCTACATGAAGATTCCGGAGCGAGAGATGTTCTGGGGTCAGGTCTGGGGCACCGTGCTCGGTCCATTCATCAATTACGGCTTCATGCAATTGATCGTTGACCGGGAACGGCCTTACCTTATTGGCCAGCGGACCTCAGAGGCGTGGGATGCTGTGCAAACCCGTGTTTACTATTCTAACTCCATCATCTGGGGCATCCTGGGTCCTAAGGAGTTCTTCGGTGAACGCTACCCGTGGGTGTACTACTCGTTCCTCGTGGGTGCCGGGGCTGTCTTCCTTACCTGGCTTGTGCAGAAGTGGAAGCCCCGGTGGGACATGGAGCGTTGGTTCAACCCTACGTTGATGTTTTATGGGGGCATGCTGTTTCCGACGTACCCAACTACAAACTTCTTCATGTCTTTCTTGGCCTGCATTCTTTTCATGGGCATCCTTCCTCGGTATTTCCCTGTATGGTGGAG